TTGTTCACTTTTATTTTTGCATGAAACACATTGTCACACTGAATTTTCAATTATTTTCAACGATTTGTCAAACACATTAATTTGATCAAGAAAAATTCAATCTTACCTTAGCTCTCATTTTATTTCACAAAAAGACGTGTGTCTTTCTTCAGAGAACGAAATGAAATGAACGAGTCTCCGTTGGTCGATTCTCCACCTCTTTTTTCAATGTCGGCTTTAATGGCGACCGATGCGTAAAATGTTGATTTTTCACGATAGACGTCGCACTGCAGCGGTGTTACCCATTGTTATTTATAGGCTCTTTTCAATCTTATAAAACTTTGAATTTTGTTTTTATTTTTTATTCATCAAATTTGATTAATTCCATCTGTGTAAAAACTGTAAATTTTCTAGAAGAAAAGAAAAAAAAAATGATTGTTTTGGTAATTTTACTTTTTTACAATCTATCATAAAGAGATGCTTTCACACAGATTATATAAATGTAAATACACCACAATGTCTATGTGTGTATGTTGTTAAAACATTGTGCTGTCAAACTGATATTAGTTGAGTAATTCCAAACAATTTTACGCCCAAACATCAACTTCTGTTTATTTTTGTATAGATTTTTTGTGTTTTCAACTCAAATTTTTGGATTTAGCAAATTTTTGCCAAAAAAACTTCAAATCACAATAGTTCGGCACGATTTTTTTTTTCTGCACTGAACTATTTATTATTTTGCATCAAACACGAATATTGTGTTGCATTTGTTGATAAATTTGATTAAAAGGTGCCCAGCCTTTTTTTGTCTTTATTCACCTGTTTTACCAATTGCAATATAAATGCTTGGAAAACCAACAATCAGAATGCCCGCCGCAATCGATCCGAGCATTGTAAAAATAGCCGTGGAATTGGAAAATCATACCGCTCAACTCATTGAGTTTGACCAGAAAAGTACGCTAACAGGTAAATGTCAATGTTATATACATGGAAATGGGTTTACATTTTAAAATCATATTTAATGATTCATCAAAATAATTAAAAAATGTCATTAATTTTCGTGTTCACATTTGAATTCACAGTGATAATACGGAATCTTTGCCAAAATTGGGACATCACGGACGATGAAAATTATGCATTGCAATTTTGTGAGAATAACAATCGGAATTATGTGACGGAAAAGAATCGAAATGAAGTGAAAAATGGTTCGGTGTTGCGAATGTGTCATTCGGCGAAAAAAACGTCACACGACATTCTGGAAACACTCAAAATTGGTTCGAATTCAGACAAAACTCGGGTGCTCGAAAATTTAGCATTGCTCAGTTCAGATTTAACGTTTGCCCTTGAGTTTATCAAAGAGCAGGGCCTTGGAATTGTTATTGCGATGATTGAAAATGAACAATGTATTGGAGAGATGTTAAAGTACATGATGTTATCGTTTGTTGAATTGATGGATCATGGCACTATTTCGTGGGATATTTTACAACCAAAATTTATCACACGTAACATTTATTTTATCAATCATCCGTCAACTGTACCGCCAGAGGTGATTCAATGTGCTTTGTCCACGCTGGAAAATATCATACAGAATAGCAGTAACTATTCGGCTGACATTGAAAATGACGTTCCGTTAAGTAGTTTATTGATTTTATTGCAAGACGCTCAATCTCAAATCATCCAACAGAATACGATTGCATTGATAAATGCTCTATTCATAAAGGGCGACGATGGTCGGCGTCAGTCGATTGCAAACACATTGAGCACAAAACCATATCGGGCCGCATTTTTGGACACGGTTGGCAGCGCAAACATTGGTATTTCACATCAATTGTATGTGCTGCAGACGTTAACGCTTGGTTTGCTGGAGGAACGTATGATGTCGCCGATGAATCCACAAGATCAAGAGGCCAACGATAAAGTGAAAGAATTGAGACGTATCGCATTTGATGAGGGCATTTTCAATGAATCGCAACCGGACAGTGTTCACAGACGCAATAATTCCATCGGCGGTGCTGGATATTACAAAAAACTTGGTTTCAAATGTGATTTGAATCCGGCTCAAGACTTTATCGAAACACCGCCAGGTATAAATTAGATTAATTTCTTTTTTATTGCAATGATTTTATTGCAGCTTTTTGCAAATTTAACATATATTTGATTCAATTGATAATTGTTTTTCATATTTCAGGAATATTGGCTTTGGATTGTATGCTATACTTTGCAAGAAATTATACGCAACAATACACAAAGGTATGAAATTGTCTGGTTATGCTCATAATTCTTGGTTTTTCATTGTTCATTCCTTCGTCAATCAGGTTGTACACGAAAACAGTTACCGTGCCGATGAGCATGAGTGTCCATTTGGTCGAACAAGTATTGAACTGGTCAAATTGTTGTGCGAAATATTGCATATTGGTGAGGCGCCAACGGAACAAGGTCAATTGTTTCATGCAATGTTTTTTACTCACGATCATCCATTCGAAGAGTTCTTCTGCAGTAAGTTAATGGATTACTTAAGCGTGTCCCATTTTATCTAATCGTCTCTCTATCCGTCTTCTTTTTGTAACAGCTTGTATCGTGATTTTGAATCGCACATGGAAGGATATGCGTGCAACGAACGAAGATTTTTTGAAAGTGTTCAGTGTAGTTCGTGAGCAAATAACGCGTAGCTTGAAAGAGCGTCCAACCAATTTGGAAGATTTTAAATCGAAAATCAATTCGTTTACCTACACAAAAATAACACAATTGCGTCAACAAGAGCGTACATCAAAAGAAGAATGTGAATCGACGGCAAGCTCAATAGTAAAGCTGAAGGAGAAAATAACGCCTGAAATTATCGATTTGATAAAAGCACAACGTTTGGGATTTTTGGTGGAAGGCACTAGATTTTCGAAATATTCACGTGGCGCACGATCGAAAGATAAATTTTGGTATGCACGATTGAGCCCAAATTATAAGGTCATTCATTATGGTGATTGTGACGAGAAGACTGTGCCCACCCTCGAAGAATTGGGCAATAAAATTCAAGTGTATGAAATAAAGCAATTGCTGATTGGCAAAGAGTGTCCGCACATGAAGGAAATGCGCTCACGCAAATCGGCTATCAATCTTGGATTTTCGATTACATTCGACAACATGGACCATTCCACATTGGATTTTGTTGCACCCGATGAAACTGTCTTCAACTATTGGACGGATGGCATCAATGCATTGCTCGGCTTACCAATGGTTAGCAAACAGAAGGATGAAGATTTGAAAACCTTGTTGTCAATGGAAATTAAATTACGTTTACTCGACACTGAAGGTGTTGATATTTCACAGGAACCACCGCCACTTCCAGAAGAACCGGAAAATTACGATTTTTGTTTTGAAAACTAAATCGCACACTGCCAAAGCATCATTTCGATTACCTTCCAATATATACCAAATTTTTCTTCAATCAAAATAATTTATATAAGATAATATATATCATTTTATCCATTATTGAATGGATTTAGTATTTTTTTAGAGCCAAAAAAAAAGAATATTTTTTAAAACCAATATTATATATGGCAAAGTTAGCAATGTGTCCAAAATAATAGCAATAATAATGAATACTTTCTACAACGAACTCCATCAACGGAAACAAAGCCAACATTGATAAGAAAGTACACTCAAGGAATGCTCAATGAATGAATAATATATTAAATTTAAAAATGGAAAGAACATATTTTTTAAGAATCAACATTATTTACATTGTATTTTATACGAGGCCAATACCTAAATTGGTTCATTTTATAAATAAAACCAAAACTACTCAAGCTTGATTGTCAGGCAAAAAAAAATTGTGTACATATATTTTTTTCTTCTTTGCCATCTCCACTATGAGTCAATAACCTAAAAGCAGTAGTATGCATGCATGGATGTGTCAAATGTTGTGTTATTTGTTTACATATTTTGAAGGACCCAATTTATTTCGTATGAAAAGTGTGTATAGTGCGCATGAGCTTGCCACATAAAAAGTCATGTTTCTTTGAATCGATTCACATTTGTGTATGTTCCACAAAACACAAATTTTCATCTGCATAGAAATGTGTCGCCCGTAATATTTCGTTTTGGTTTTTTTTTTGGTGATGAAAAATTAATGAAAAATTTCGTCAAATTCCAATAATTTGAGTGTCATTTTGTCAATCTTACGTATAGAGTAGATAACAGTTATTTGTCAATAGAAATTATCAATTTTGTTTTGGGGGAAAAAGTAATAAGGGTGATTTTTTGAGTGTCAGTGAAAAAGTGAAATTCTTTTATCGTGGCGTCAGAAAACGGAATCAGAACGCAGAACAAGATTCATCCAAGTCCGGGCGTTGCTCGAAGCATTGTCTGGGCCATATCACCACTAACAGCATCATGTAATATGGTAACAGAGGATCATGAGCACGCTCACACAGAAGAGGAGACGACACCAATTCTGGAGGAGAAAGATTCAAATCTATTGTGCTCCGAATTGATTGTTCACATCGATGACATATTTGATGTGATCAAAAATGGGTGAGTGGCGAATTCAAATTGATATAAACAGATATATTTATACCCATATACCCGCAGTGAATTGGCTGATGTTGAGAATTTCGTTGAGAAATTTGGTATCGAAACGTTGAGCGCCCGTGATAAACATGGCTATACACCAGCTCATTGGGTTGCACTCGACGGTAATGTCGACATGATTCGATATTTGGTCGAACGAAATGCACCAGTTGATTTGCGGTGCTTGGGAACACAAGGACCGAGACCAATACATTGGGCCTGTCGCAAAGGTCATGCTGGTATGGAATTACTATGAATAACAAATTGAATGTGTCTCTTTACACTAACGATGTTGACATTGAACCTCTTTTTAGCCGTTGTACAAGTGTTACTTCAATCTGGTGTAGGTGTTAATGCTGCCGATTTAAAAGGACTCACTCCTTTGATGACGGCATGTATGTACGGTCGCACGGCAACCGCCGCATACCTACTGGGAATGAATGCTCGTCATGAACTAACGGACATAAACGGTGACACCGCGTTGCATTGGGCAGCTTATAAGGGTCATGTTGATTTAATGAGATTGCTTATGTACTCTGGTATGTTAAAATCATTGCATGTTGTCTAAAGAAACTGTAATGCAAAAAAAAAACAAACATTTTTTTCAGGTGTCCATTTACAAAAGACGGATAATTTTGGTTCGACTCCATTACACTTGGCCTGTCTCTCGGGCAATTTGTACTGCGTACGAATGCTGTGCGAAAAAAACAATGTCGATCTGGAACCACGGGATAAATTGGGAAAGACACCTCTTATGGTAATAGTCCAAATAGTTGAGTTCTGATTCGCTTCTTCTAATGTGAGTTATTTTGATTAATATATTCGTAGCTTGCTCAAAGTCATCGCCATTGTGAAATCGTAAAATTTCTGAAGAATATGATTAAAAAGCGGTCCAGATGGTTTCCACCGCTGTCCGAAGTATGGGGATTATTATTTGGCGGTGCTGGCAATTCAAAAGGACCTCTTCTTTTGTTTGTGTGTTCGGTATTACTGTGGTGCTATCCTATGTATGTGATTCGGGTCATTCCGAAAACTTGGAATCTATTGCGAAAATCTCACTATTGGTAATCCATTTGCAAAATGATGAATCGTTTAATAAATTCTTACTAACGCTTTCGAATCTAATTGAAGCTTCATCTATTGGAATATTTTGATGTGGATCAGTTGGATTATAGCCAATCGACGTGATCCCGGCTATATTCCATTGAACTCTGAACAATACTATCGAGCGATTCGACAAATTCCATATTTTGAAAAATGGAAGAAAAGAAATCTCAGCCTAACACAGCTGTGTCATAGTTGTCGATGCTTGAGACCGCTACGTGCAAAACATTGCCGTGTTTGCAATAGGTATGCCATTGTCGAGACTATCGATGCGAAATAAACACAAAATGACTAATTTTCACTTCATTATTACTTTTCAGGTGCGTCAATTTTTTTGATCATCACTGCCCCTTCGTCTCCAACTGTGTTGGTCTACGGAATCGAATGTGGTTCTTCTTGTTTGTACTTAGTGTTGCTATCAATTGCTCGTACACAATTTATTTTGCCTTATACTGTGTGATGATAGAAGGATTTACCATTCTCTATATGCTTGGTCTCTTGGAATCAATCATATTCTGTTTTCTTGGTTGGATACTAACATGTACAAGTGTTAGTAACTATACTACTTACATATCAAACATTCTCTTTATGAAAGCTAATAACTGATGATGTGTTTTTGTTTTTCGTTCTTCTCTTTATCAAACAATAGATTTTGCACGCTTGCATGAATTTAACCACAAACGAAATGTTCAATTACAAACGATATGCATATTTACGAGACAAACGTGGCCGCTACCAGAATCCATTCTCACGAGGACCCATATTGAATTTAATTGAATTCTTTATTTGCCTACCAGATCGTTATTATGATGATGAGAACGATGACATCATACTTGGTGACCATCATTTGTGACAATATTATCGATTTTAAATTCCTTATGGAAAGTTCATCGAATACATTGCCATTTCGTATTATTGTGCACGTTATTTTATTGCATTTATATGCTTATCTCTTGGATGCTTTTGCACTAAAATTCACATTTTTGACATTTGAACTCGGTCAGATGTTTTTTTGTCAAACAAAAATGCGCATTCAATAAATATTTTATCGATTTGTTATCACCTTCTGTAACGTCTTTTATTTAAAAAAAAAAAAAAGCAAAGGGAAAAAGATCAGTTCTGATGCGATTGATTTGGGTACGGTGCTTCATGTAAATCGTTTACAAAATGTTTGGATTACATCATCGATCAACTATTAGTTTCAATTAGATTTCAATCTTTATTATTGGAATGGATGCTATGGTTTGTAAGAATGTAAAAGGTATCAGAAATAGTACACGCCTCTTCGCTTTCATTGTATAGATTCAGATATTTATTTTAGATTACAATTATTATGTATGAATATGTTGACACTTATGATATTTAGGTCGCGATTTATACAAAAAATAATCCGCACAATTATAAATTCCGCTGGAAATGTTGTGTTATAATGTCAATTTCGAGAATGATGTAATCCATCTAATTTCTTCATTTTCTTTAAAAAAAAAGTATACAAATATTCAAATTTCTTGCTGCTCAATTTCATTAATTCTCAATAATTGTATTTGGCCATTTAAATCCAACACTGACCAAATATTGCTACAGTTCTACAAATATCGACAATTTTGACTATAAACATTTAAACATCATCTAAATATTAATGTCTCTTGGCATGTCAGCTCCTCTTCACTCTTACAAAGTTTTTTCGATTGATAAAAAAAGAGCGAGTGTTTGACGATTTACGCAAAACAAAATTAAACAAATGTGACGAAAATAAAAACATCAAACTGCCTCGCATCCATCAGATTTGTGTTCAGAATAATAATTTAATCGAATGTGCTGGCAAAGTGTTTGATGTTTAAACCGTATTTGGAATGTTTCGATATAGTTTCAAGGATAAGATTTTCATTTTCGTATGCCGGAGCTCAAAAATCGGTGTTAAGACACCAAAAACATGTGAAAACGACAAATCAATTTTATTACTGATTTGCTGTGGAACTAGAAATGCTGATCGATGTGATTAGATCGCCAAAGGTTTCCAAGACGCGTATCAATGTTGTACCTAAGGGGAGAACCACAAAAGAAAAGAATAAAATTTAAAATAATCGATAAGTAATCGACAAATATCAATGTTGTACCATTCGAGTGTGGTTGACGCAAAGGAAAATTGATCCCATTGTTGGCTCGAAGCGAAAATGACTTCCGGGCGACCGATCGCATCTGATGACTTGTAGTGGCCAAATTGCACAGATCTATCGATAAAAATTGGGAGAGACAATCGATTGAAAATAATGGCCTGATGGAAATACTAATTTAAAATATATGGTTATTATCGTTACCTTCATAATCAAGATAATCGAGTACATTGAGCAAAACGTATGTATTGAGATCAATAAAATTTAGCACGGATCGTCGTTTTGCTACCTTTCGCTTAGGAATGTGTTCTGGGTCCTGGTTTTCCTTGTTCGAATCATCTGAGTGCGATCGCTTCACAGACTGCAGTTTCATTCGCTTGTTTGGCGGTGATGACATGTTGAATTGACGCAATAAATCTAATCAAACACGGAAGGCCTGTGTCAGCGAAACCATAATGATTTATCCAAAACACAAAATTCTTACCCAATTACAGTGGAAAAAATGATGTTGATATGAATGCGGAATGTAAACACGCTATGAATCAAGTCTTTGTGATTTGTTGGTTATGTTTGGACTGTTTGGTGGTGTCTTTAGTCTCTCTCAACTGACTCACGATGAAATCCAAACGATGATCAAATTTTATTCGAACACACTTATTTTGCTAAATTTGCAATTTTATATCGTTTTTATAACATATTTTCCACACCAATTTGATGATAACATTAAATTTAAACAAAAACTTAACAAAATTGAATACGTATGAAAAGGTACAACTCTAGTTGCGACGTGTCTCTATCATTGATCGAACAGTAAGTGATTTTTTTCTGCCTCTGTGACAGCTGTGAGAGCGCAAACAGCAAAATGGCATTCGACGCGTTCTTGTAACGGTATCGATGAACGCCTCTCTGTCTGATACTGAAACACAATTTAAAACACGAATACTTACAGTGCAGACAGCATATTGATGCTTACGTCTATTTCGACAGCATTTTTTCTGTGTCTTCATATGACATAAATTTTAGACTTTTAAATGAATTGTTTGTCCGTTAGGCTGTTGAATGTTATGTCCACTTTTCGTAATTTTCTGATTGGAGAAAAATTCTGTGATAAATATCTTGTCAAAAATCGAAGATTTTTTCGACACCAAAGTGTCTTCTGTGTCCTTGTTTCGATGCTAACTTTAACCCGAATCTCGTTCAATATTTGAATTTTCCTTTTCTGATCAATTTTTTACATGTTTGCTTCTGAACAATATCAAAGCACGAAAATTGTAATTTTGTGTTCGAATATATATGTGTGACACTCAAGAAGTGAGTGCTTAAAATGTGTCGTTAATATTATGATGTACTCTCAAATCAATGCTTGGAATTCCAAAACAAAATGCCAGAATAATGTACACTAATCAATTCAAGCAGTTGTCCTTGTTGATCTGACTCTGCCAAATGATCGGAATTGACGATGAGCGATGACATGAAATGACCAAAAATTTTCAACAACCGCTCGGCTTGTGGCAAACTAAATTTTTCGGCATTTTTGTCAATGAGCCAATCCATGTTCATGCTTGTATACACCACCTCGAAATACTTTTGAGCGGCCAATCTTAATTCAACATTTTCTTCAGCTTTCATGGAAAGTTCGTCCAAAGTTAGGTTGTCAAAATGTTTAAACAATGAATTTTCGTCCAGTTGCTGTACTCTTGGCTTTGATGTATCATACAAACTTGGCGGCTTTTTCTCAGCTGTGTGTCGTAGTTGTTGATCTGACAATTTCCACCGACGAACAAATGACGTCTGTTGCGCTTTCACCATGAACGTAGCCACCGGTATATTCTTCACTGTTTTGGCCTCATTCTCCATCTCATTGTCCACCTCCTTGTTGGTTTCATTGTTGTTTATGTCAATTTTTTGCTTCAACACCTTGGTGTTTGTGACACGTTTGATGGTTCGACGAATTAGGCCGAATCGATTTTTATTCATTCGCAGGTCAAATCTACCTGCAAACGGCCGCAAACGACTCGATCGTGCATCAGACATTGTGTACTAAAATAGTGACGGTGCCTGTGAATTGAATGTGTTTCCAAAGACTCTTAAGCCAACTGAACCTGGTCAGGCAAAGATCTCGGCCACTTTGATATATACTTGAGTGCTGTGTGTAAACATATGATCCAATTATTAGGCTTTCCTATTTTCATATTTATTCAATGCATTGTTATGTTGATATATTACCTGATTTGATGCTTTCCACGTAAAACACGAACAGCGGTGGATAGTAACGATGAGACTCAGTCGTTAATATTACCCGAATAGATTTTGTTTACGATGTTCCATCAACTAAACTAACTATTCTAAATCATTTTACTATTGCTTGACTGCTTTTGCAACCACTTAATAACGATGATTTGAACACAAATATTCACAAAATAACTAAAAACTCCTTTGTATGTTACAAAAAGAATAAAACCAAATAGTGACTTGGTTTCGCATAACTGTGAAGAACGGTGTTATCGAACTCTATGTTCATCAAATGTGCAAGTGTGTGTATTGTGTGCATCACAAGTTACGCGCTAATCATTTCAACCTGCCAATATTTCAAATCGCCGACAGTTTGACAATCGTTAAAAAGCCAAAGACGCAAAAAAGTCATATTTCAAGCTCTCGCAAACAAATAAAAATGTTGCTGGAAAGAATGATATTTTTTTCAAATAGAACCGCTTAATTCGAAATGGTACTGCAGCGCTACAGATTCTGTGAATATTGATTTTTGACATATGTCAAGTGAATTGACAACATAGCACAGCCCGGTGCCGAATGTTATTCAAGTTGTTGTTTTCACTGAGGATACATACCAAAAAAAATGTGTTCGACGAAAAGAATGTAAAAGAGAAACCCGAAGCGAAAATTCTATTGTCATACGGAAAGAATTCAATTCGACTTTAAGAACCATGAGTCGAATATTCACTGGTGTATTTCCCGACATTCCATCGGAATTAAGGTTAGAAAAACCCGCATCAACACAATAATAAGCATTGCATTGATTTCTTTGTTTTTACAGTTCGCGGTTGTTTCATGACGACCAGTTAGTTGTAATTGGCGTGATTGGAAAGTCAAACGATGCCAAATGTAATAAAATGATTGGATTTGATATGGTGAAATTTGCACCGGAAAATACAAGCATACAAAATGGACAGATTAGTTTCTATTTCAATGAATCGGAGGGCAAGAGTTTGTATATTCACTTTCAAACCACCTTTGATATGGTGGTCATGGAGCAACTTTTTATGGAACGACTGACCAAGATGACTAGAGAACAAACCACACAAGAGCAAACGACACAAGAGAAACGCAGTAGCCGGCGACGAAACAGTTCTATTCATTCATTACATACGCTTGTTCGCACCAAATTTGCACAAATGCTACTGTTTGCCATTCAAATTTGTCATATCATTGTACTGGTTGAACCAAACAATGTATTTGACACGGGGTATTTGAGCATTTTCAAAGCATTGAAGGTTATTAGGTAAATATACAGATTAATCTCGATGCCCAGCTTCGGAAAATAGCTTACCACTGGTGGTCGCAAAACAATTTCTATCCGAAAACTCTCACATCAGCAGCCATTTTTTTTTTTTCAGAGAGCAGTACGTTTTGAAGTTTCTTCCGAAGTTTTTGAAAAATTCCAGTGCTGGTGCTCAAATTGGCAAAGAAGGACGATTATGTTCACCGCGATTTTTATTTTATTTTGAGAAAACACTCAATGAATACAGCAATCTGGAAGCATTGCAACGATTTGAGTTCGAAATTGAAGATTCGATTTACAAAATGTTGCGAAATGAATTTGTAATCACAAACAATAGGTAATTGATATACATTCCACTCAAGCCAGACTCACCGCAAACCAATAATTTTCTAAATTATACTTTTAGTTTAAATTCACTATTTTCAATTCCGCGAAACAAACGATTCGTTTGCATAAATACAAATCGAAATTTACATGCAAATCCAATCACAAAATCGGTCAACGAACTAGCGCTGTGTATCAATAAAGAAAAGTATGCCCCACATAGTGATGGAGAAGACAACGATAGCGATGATGATATAAGACCGTTCAAAGGTTTTGCAAAGCCATTGAGCAACTACAAAATGGGCAATAGCAAGAACATTTGGTCAGAAAAAAAGAATCGTCTAATTGAACTAATTTCAGAGCACGTAGAAGAGGCTCTGAAGTCCGGATTCGATGACAGCGTTGCCAAGTATAAGGGAAAAGGACATTTTGTGGTGAGCAATCAATTGGTAAACATTTGAAAATGGGCTACATTCATTGGTAATCTCTTTTAGATTCCGTCTGGCAAGTCATGGTACGAGATGTTCAAATTATTACATAAAATTTTCGTCGAAAATCCGGATAACTCCAGTTTTGAACCAAATGATTCGGACTATGTACGTAATGTTGATTGTTTCAGCGCAAAATCTCTTGCTCGCGAGTTTATACAGAGACTGTTTCTCAGAGCAATATATGTGAAGCGGAGCGCTTCCCCTCACATATATTGCCCTGAGAAACCACCTTTAATTTTTAATCATTCATTTGACAGAAATCGTACTTGGAGAATTTCACCCGGATCGTTGACATTGATGACAGGTTTTTATTAGAATTATAAATCTTTTACCGATTCTAATGTTGACATTGTGCTTTTTTTGTTTTCTAAGATTCTACACGGAGTGCTGTGAATATGGTTTGGAACGTGCAAGAGAACATTACAAAGAGATGTTGCCATCATTTTACAGCAAGAATTATCATGAGCAAAAGGTTTTGCAGAGCATTTCCATGCTGAAAAAATTCGGACGCGGCCCAAATCTGTCGGCGTCTGAGAAGAAACTGACAGATGTTTGCAATGAATTTTGGCTGAATGGCCGCCAGCAGTGCGAAGTATTGAGTTTGCGTGGAAATCCATGTGCGATGGCAAAACATGAAGATGATGGTCATATTAGTACCGAAGTGATCATATCGACTTGTAATTGTGGCAGAACACAGGGAAGACGGAATGATCCATTTAGATTAAGACAAGCAAACTATGAATTCTATCAAATTATGATGAACAGTTGTACAATGTGCCCGAAATTGGAAACCATTCCATTTGCTGTATTTGAACCATCGTCAAACGATTATCGGTTAGTTTGATTTTTTTCTGATTTATTTTCTGATGAAAAAAAAATCTTTTTTCAAATAACAGAGCTGCAGAGCTAGAGAAAACAATTGTCGATGAAAAAACAATGGTAGAAGAAGACGATGACGAATATCAAGTGCTTACGATGCCATCTCAGTTGGCAAACCCATTGAGCATTGGGTCGGGACTTACATTTACCGATGATGAAAATAACGATTCAAACAATCCAATCAGTAATAATCAATCAACGGAAAATATTTCATCCGACCATGAGGTAATACTGGAGCCAAGCGATGATGAAATTAATGAAATTGTCATTCAAGTGGGCGGCGAAGAGAACGAAGAAAATTTAGAGAAGGGCATCTATCGACAACCATCAACAACAGAATATTTATCAGGTTGAGTTTCGGAGCATCTTACCATTAGCAATCTTACCATATTATTGACATTCACTTTATTTCCTAGGCATGGTTCATACAATGAGTCCAATTGGTTTGTTGCCACAATTCTCAAGCTGGTCATTGGTTTGCGTTGGTCACAGTTCCGTTTATTCACACAATTCAGGAAGTAAGATATTTTTCATTCAATTCGACATTCGACTCATTCAAATACCTACAAATTCTCTATTTTTCACTTTGATTTTTGAAAGTTCCGGAGCATGCTCAAAGTGGATTTTTATCTGGTGCAAATTTTTTGTTGCCCTGGGACGTGCAAGTACGTTTGGAAAATGCAGCATCATGGGCTCGAACACTAGATAAAGCACGGCATCGTCGAAAGCCACAACCCAAAGACGATTCAGATGGTCAAGTGTTTATGTTGAAAATTTTCGTCGGCTGTGAGTACGAATGTGCACGGGGTCACCGATTTTTCATGAGTAGTCCCGATACTATTCTAAGAGGTGGATCAGGTAATCTACTACGGTTCTAGCATACATCCATCTACGGAAAATATCTAATTATACGTATTTTTCTAATTTCTAGGTATTGTTAAAGACGGTGGCAGTAAAATTGTGTTTAATGACATGCCGCTGTACTTCGCCTGTCCCTGCAGAAATGCCAAACCAAGTGTGGCTCAATTGATGCGAGTACATGTTGTTACGCCCAAAGCTCCAGTCAACATCATATTAGAACCGAAGGTATACACACATTTCTTAGCAATTTTCTCCTTACGATATGTATTCATATTCATTTTCCATCGTATAGATTCGTACCGGAGATAAGAATGGCTATACATTTACCACGGGATTGACAGATCCACCAAAACTGTCACAAAGTGCATATTGGGTGTTACGTTTACCGTATGTGTACGAGGGAAACGATGGACCAATTATGCCACCAGCTGATGTAACCGCAGCGAATTGCATGAATTGGGGCTATCTATCGGCCGGAATGTATGGAATTGTTGAAACAAAAACTAAATGAGAACGAAACTACGATCGATTTGAATTTTAAAGTGAATTTATTTTCATTAGACCACTAAACGGATACTTGAAATTTATGATTTTCTTTAAATAAATAAATAAATAAATAAATTAGAGTTTAACTTAAAAGAAATCAACAACAAAGAAAAGTTATTAGATTCTAAATTTAAATCTAGAAACAAAAGCGTCTATTTGTAAAATGAACGTTTTAAATTGAAATAAAATTATTGCCTTTTTAAAATGAAACAAAATAAAAAATCAAATGAAAGTATATCTGAAAATACTGGTTTAATACAAAAAATGACCAAATTGTTTCACACTGTGACAGTGAAGAACATCATATAGTCATTCTTTTACACAAACAAACCACCAGGTCATTCTGAACTTCTGATTCTAAAAGGGTTTGAAACAATTTCAGCTCTAGTTTTCAGATAATACCGGCAAAAATGCTGTGAAAAAACCTCACCCTTAATAATGTACTGTAATTCGTACAGGGATATTGAGTAGAGATATCTGGCAATATTTAGCAAAATAGAGCCACAGAAGACTACATGATAATTTATTTGACCTTTTAAAAGGACCAATGCACGAACTAAATGCTTACTGCTGCTGATCAGTCATTGATAGTGTACCACAGTTCACCAATTCAGATGTAATGGCTATCAGCAGCAGGGTGATTAGATTGAGCATAGGTGTGTTCAAAAAAAAGAGAAATTGTCATCGAAAAGTTGCCGCTACATATCTTTTAAACTAGAGCTAAACGATAATACTGACACCTTCTACGTCAATGTCATCAAAAGAACAATGAATACCTCTTGGCTTGGTTGATTTGTGAATTTTGTTTTCTCCCAAAAATCGAACCAGTGTTAAATCACATCTAAATCAAAAGCTATGTAATATCAACGATATCGTCTAGTGTGTTAGAATTCTATGAGATAATGTGAATGTTTTTTTTTCTTAATGAAAGCGCTTTGCATATTAGATTCTATGTTTCATTCTGTAATTTGGTTTTCGATCGTTTGTCTAATCAATAATCACAATTAAACAAATGGAAAGTATTCAATTGAATAACTAAAATGCTAATTTTGAATACTGGTCGCAAAATCAATAATTATGAACATTATTGTTTTATCTAAAAATGAATTGCTTGCAAATAAAAAGCGAACAAAATTAATCTAGGTCTATTTAATCTAGGATTTTACAATTTTTTTTTAAATCGGATCATTTAAAACAAAATCAATTTGAATTAAACGCAATATTTTGTATGAAATGGTTGTTTTGCATTTTAAAAAAATCATCATTATAAAATATGTTTGTCGATTTTGCTTAAAAAAATGAATATAAGTCACCATCAAAGCGTGCGCTATAAAAATGTTTGTTTTTCTTCATTGTAACAACTGAATGCAGCAAACGTGTGTTGCTTTCCACTTATGCAGATTGGACTTAACTAGATCGTGCTGAGGCAATAACAATTTTTTTTTTGTTGTTTTGTAAAAATTTTTTCTCAATGCTTTGGCTTAATATGCTCACACTTGAAGCTAACACACAAAAAATGTTCGTAACAGTTTTTAAAGTTGTTTTAGTCGAAAGCTTATTTGTTGCTTGAAATGTCGCCATATATAATCATAAAATAATGCCTAATTTGATGTACATCAATACCGGAGGGATGAATGACTTTCTTTTGGTATCAAGAGATTTTTTCTGAAGCGACCAAATTGCCATTTTCACATGCAATTGTTATGGATTTGTTTTATCTAACAATCGTAGTAGATAGATCTTTCAAACGGCAAAATTATCATTTGTTTTGTACAGGAGAGCTGGAGTACGTTTAATGTTAATAGTTCGTCGAATTAAAATCACGAAACATATTCTTAAATTAATTTATGTTTAAATTCGCTATGCGATTAAAAGTTCATTTTTATCAAATTATTTAATCATTTAGTTTCGATTGTTTTTCATCACCATCACTTTTGGCTGATATTTCGGGTGTTTCATCTTTGTTATCGGTGCTCGTTGACTCGACTGTATCTAATTTCTTCTCACTGTCTGTAGTTTCTTCGCCGTCACGTTCCGATATTTTGCGAATCGATGTGCTAGAGCCATTCGAATCGGTCAGCGATAGTGTTGATGGTCGTGGCAATTTACTAGCAAATGGAAATGGTAAATTCTCGACTTGCGGAGTATGAACGGCGACAATTTCAGTTTGTGTACTTGAACTATCTTTTACTTCGGGTTTTTTCTCCTCCATGCCGGACTCATTTTTTTGACTCGGTATTTTGCATAACACACTCATGCACTGGATTATATCACGCATTGATCCTTGCAACTGTTGCACCTGTTAAATAAGAGAACATAAGTTAGAGAAATCTTTCAAAAACATAATGAAAAAGTCCTGATTCGGACCAAGGATAAATAAAACCCCTCAAGACTTTTTTTGCTAATCATTTTTTCGAGGCGTGAATTCTTTCAATTCGCTAGGCTTTTTCACCGAAAGAAATGAGCCATACATTCTTCGAAGACCAAATTGACCCCTAGATTTTTCGAAAAAAAATATTGGAATTCCCTCCTCCATTGAATCGCCAACTTAACAAGCTATGTTTAACAGTACAAGGTACTTGCTTAATGTGCACACAGACATAAAACAATGTGTGCCTTGGAGCGGCAATACAATAAAAGCAATAATACAATCATAATGTATTGAATATTAGATCTCTGTGATCCCTACATGTGATCTCATACCTGATTAGTCAAAACCGAGCATGTTTTCGCCAAATCTTGTACCACAGCAGTTGAATTGGGTTCCAAACCGCTTGAATTTGCACTCGTTGCGGACGAATCAATTGCACTTGCTGCTGGCTGCAGTGTTGACACTTTCTTCCACAAGGCATTTATTGCCTGCATCTGAAGCTGTTGAATTTTTCGTTCATTTTCCAGTGCAACTTTCGTTGTTTCCATATCATGTGACAATTTTCTGCAAAATATAGCAAACATTGAAATGAATGATTGAAAAATTTAAAAAAAAAATGAAGTAAATAGGAAAAAATGCCCTTACTCAATATGCTGTTGAGTTCTATTCTTCTGTAGACTCTCAGCAATGTGCTTGTTTATCTTGCGTGTATTATAACCGCGCCATACCTTCTGAATCACAATAGCCGACTCTTCAGTTGAATTTTGATTAATAAGCTTTGGTTTAGATGAACTTGCATCGGTATTATCTTTTGATTGACTATGTTCCTGAGATCTGTAAAGAAATTTAAATTGTTTCAATAAACATCATTATGTCAAAGAGTGACTTTGTTAGTCCATCCCGATAATTCCATTCCAAATGATTAATTTCATGGTTAAATAATTCAAGTGCGCAATCGGTTACCTTTGTGCTGCTTTATTTCTTATGGTTTTGAGTTTGTCGGCGCTAAAATGGTCGCTGTCATCATCTGAACTGACATTGCTCATGTTGTCAGGTGTTACTGTATAACTGGCCGGTTGCTTTGATGCTGGAGCTTGTGCGGGTGGTGGTGGCGATTGTGTTTTCTGTGCCAACGTTTTCTTTTGTTGAAGTGTTTCATTGTGTATTTGGTTAGTTGTTTGGTTTGCCTTTAGTGCCGTATTAATTGAGTTATTTTTGCGTACATTTAAAACGGGCGATTTTTCCTGCTTTTTAGTCAACGATGTACGACTTTTTGGTGACATTAGTTTTGACTCTGCACAATTTTGGTTAATAAAAATCGTTAGAATTTACCAATTGTTATAGGTAGATGGATTAAAAAAATTAAATCGAATTTACAAACCTTTAGTGGATTTAATTGCGGTAACCTTTTGATTTGGCAAGGATATTTCGGATTTGGGTTGAGTTGGTGTCGAATGAATAACGCTTGCATGAACAACATTGGATGGAGGGCAATCAGGACTCATCAGTGTCTCTGGCACTGGCACGATTTTTGATGTAGCAACCAATGGACATTGGCGTGTTTGATAGTCTATATTAAAAATGAGTTCACATTAAAATTGATAACCAATGCTAATTTTCAATTGAAAAATATGGTACGAACCATTGATTTGCGGTATTATTGAACGAACATTATTTGACTCTGACGTTAGTTTTATCGGTGGCGAACTCAAAATGGTTGGATCTAGACTTTGGACCATTATGTTACCTTTTTCGGCATTTACATTCTCAATTAAAGACGATGACATTTGGATCAATGTGTTTGTGTCATTGTTCATCGATGACGATGTATTTCCGTGATAGCTGCTGGACATTGAGTCTGGTGAACCGGAATTGGCTCGACCCAAGCGTGAAACTAAAATCAAAAAGTGATTTAAATTCACTGACAATTCAAATTGGATGGAAACTTTATGATTCGTTACCTCTTGGTGATTGTATTCGATTCGATGTGCCACGACGTCGATTCGTTGATGGCGAGTTATTGGCCGATGAATTTGAGTGTTCTATTTTCATAAAAAAAAAACGAATAATGTCAACGATTATTCTCAAACACCACCGAAAGAATGATGTACTACATACCCGAAATCTCTTCTTTAAGTTGTCGTTGATGTTGTTGTGCTTTACTTAAAATGAGTCTCAATTTGCGGTCTTCTTCGTTTTCGAGCGCCTCACCGGTAAGCGGACACACGGAACTCAAGTACTTTGCTAAATCAACTTGTTCACCGATACGAAATTGTCGACCACGTCCTTGGCTATATAACCATTCAGCTTTAAGACTTTCAATTGGATTAACAGCAAATCCATCGATTACTTTGACAGTCATGCACCAATTCAGCACAAATGGTCGATAGTCGAAGCCAGTATTCTTATAAATGAAACTAATGCAAGAAACAGACGAACAAACACAAAACAAATGAAACACGTTACCGAACAAAACAAACTTGAGTAATCGAAGTAAAAATAGCAGAGTTTGTACGGATGTTGCAAGTACATCATGACAAATCAAAATAACCGTTCAATTGAATTTTGCGCTGTAATTTCTCCAACTTGATGTGGATAATATGTGTCAAGTCGACCGCTACTATGATTTATTATGTGTGGTTTTGTTGCTTTCATTTGTACTTACACTGAATTCGTCATTTGAACACATGGATTTTCTTGGATGGAAATGCTGTTGAGTGACGTTAAGCCGCTTAGCGTACAAATTTCATTTAAATCCGAAATATTATTGTGGTCCAGTGTTAGTGTTTGTATCGATACAGGTAGATAGCGATCACATTGTCGTAAATGAGTTAATCGATTCCCATGCAAGTACAATTCCTATGAAATGAAGAAAAAAAAACCGCATAAGAGAAAAACAAAAATAATCCCCATGAAAATTCATTATGTATGTGGAAAAACGACGTCGAATAAATATGTCACGCTAATATTGTAAAGCCTAACGTTTCTATATGTTTGACTATTGCACGATTGCACCACATATCAACATATAATATGGATTGCATGAGTGCTTTCAATTTGCTTAAATGATGGGTGTAACATTCACACAAGTTCATAGTCATTGTTCGCAAAAGCACTTGAAATATTAACGAATAGAGACGAAAGAAAATGAGATTATACCTTTAAATTTTTCAGCGGCGAGATGTCCGATATGCTGCCAATGCTGTTTTCAGCCAAATTTAGATACTCTAATAGAATGTTTGCGTTTAAATGCTCAACGCATTTGATATTGTTGCCCTGCAAATTTAAATATCGCAAATGTACCAATTCTTTGAGTCCTTCAATTGTGACAATACTGTTGTTCGATAAATTCATCTCTTGAAGAAGATGCAACCGATTCAATCCATACATTCGCAGCAAATTGTTCTTGCATAGTGAAATCTACATTAAATATGCATGACAATAAAATAAAATTAACATAAAAAACGTACATTAAATTGATATGAATTAAAAATAACCATTCGAACCTTTTCAATTTTTAGGAAAGAATCGACATTATCGATTTTTTGCAATAAATTTTCGTCCAGAATGAGCTCTCTCACATGTTCTGCATCTTCCGTTTTAGGCACTTTTTTCAAGCCTTTTTTCGATAAATCCAATATCGTTGACGCTTTTTGATCGTCCACCAATTTCTCCACCGACGGTTCGGTTGGTGTATTCAATTCCAACATATAGCTATGATCTAAATCAATGTAAACAACACCATTTTTATGATTCAATAAAACTATTGACACAATTTCTACTGGTTTTTTTTTTATTTCTTCTCTTGCTCCACATAAATGCAATTGCTCACACAAAAATTTATGTAATATTTACCCATTGTGTAAAAAAACGTGTCCTCCGCCTTAATACTAAGTACACAGTATCCTTCTATTTTCTTATTCTATATGATTTAATAGAATAAGCAACGAAATTTCATATAGTATATCGATTGCAACTATATTCACATAGAAATTGTTTTTTTTTTCTCTCTCTTTCGTTTCAATATTCACTAATAAACAATTGTAAACACCTTGCAAGTGTTTGACGTTTTCCCAAGCAGGTTGCAAACAAATCTGTGTGCTCTTTTCGTTTTGTTTTCAATTTAAATTTTATTTATAGAAACATCACTTTGGTCTAACTAAAATATTTTATGCGATTCATAGTAATTAGTAAAAAAGAATATTTTTGCACGCACGACACATTGGCTGGTACACACACATTGCATGTTTTGTTGCGAATGAGAAAGAGAAAAAGAAAAAAAAAAGTTTAATTGATTTTTTCGGTTTGTTGAGTGCGATTTTTCGTTCTATGTATGTTATGTCGTTCGCATCGTTTATTTCTTTTCATTTGACATTTTGCACGGCATGAAAGTCAATGGGAAAATGCATTGTATATAATCAAGCAAGTGGCATCAAAACAGTTGAACAAAAAAACGTTCAATTCGCCCCGTTCAAATGACAACAACACTGTGTGAACATTAAATCCACTTTGTGTTGTTAGTTTTTTTGCAAAGAGATTTTTCGAAAAAAAATAAAAATCACACGAGGACACAATTTTCCATAAATATTTAATTCCAAAAAATGTCCAAAAATAATTCACTTTGTTACGAATGTGCTGCTACTGCAAAGCGTTTTCGTTCAAATGACAAAAGAATAATCTATTACATCGTTCAGTTGGTTCGCGCTCTTTTCACTCGTTTGACAGACCGAACAAACCGACTATAAACAATTGTGTGTTACACTACAGAGCTCCATGAGCACCTTGTCGTTTTGAAGAAAATTCATTTTATTCTTGATTAATTTCGGAATTTTGGTAAATAATCTAGTGAAACATGATTACATTTACACCACGTACACTCGTCAATGGTTCAATGTTGCGTAATTTTATCGATCAACATGTGAGCATTCATGTAAACGTGCAGACAGAGGTAGATCGTGGAGCATCGGTAATCAAAGCCACAACCAGTGATGATTTGGATGTCGAGATTCAGCTGTCGGAACCGCTCAATTCACCGGTTAAAGGATGGATCGAGGTCATCGGTGTACCGACCAGCGCAAACACCATTCAAAACAAAGAGGTAACGTTCAATGAATTGAAATTACGCATTATTGTGAAATCACTTTCGAACACTGAATTGATTGTGTGTATTTTTTTTTTTGGTTAGATCATCATTTTCCCCGATGAACCCGACAATGAACCATACAACAAAAGTGCACACGTTCAGATGGTCACATTCTGGAATAACTGCAAGGACATTTTGAACTTGGAATAAATCATCATGAAATCATTATCCACGCACCAGCATACTGTTGAATCATTTAAAGCTGATTAAAAACTATACCAACATCAATAAACTTATTCCATTAGATTTACATAAAAGCAAACGATTTGTGTATTTTTTTTATATCGTAATATTGATTTATGGTATTGAGAGAATTGAAAATCACTTGATATTTGTATTAAAAAAAATCATGCACGAACATTTACTATCAGCTGTCAATAATAGCCGTCGATTTTGGCGAGCTTTGGACTTTATTAAGGCATCGCCTTAGTAGATTCTATCCTTATTAGGTTGTTTAATTACTATTTTTGAGAATCTGCCAGAATCAATTTTGCGGACAACCAAAAATTACGAGTAAAAGTCTCACGCTAATTTTGCTCCATAAACATTTTGATGAATACAAGAAAAGAAACACTTAGAAGAAAAGTGCCCGCACCTCTACGGTGCTTATTACACTTCTGATAGGACTTACTATGCCAGAGCAAATTAAAAAAATCTTAACAAGGTTAGGTGGCCATAGGCTGTACTATTTTATCGAACAGACATTATTTTTTATAATTACAGACTTTGTTCCGTGATTCATAATGCTCATAATAGTGTTGATTCTGAAAAATCACAATAAAATACTATTGAAACACGTTCTGTATGTACAAAAGACAACAAACAATATATTTCATTCGTCAACAAAACTATATAACAAATAGAATTTTGCCGATGTTGAACAAGCTGAATAATAATATATTTAAATAAAAGAGTATCCAATAGTGCTCTAGAATGGATCTTTTAGAAATCGATTCGAATCGATACATCCATAAGCATAACAATTTCATACAATCAATCAATAAATCTGACCATTGCGAATAACTGCTTAAAATAGTTTTTCCAAATTTTTCGTCCATCCATCGGATAGTTTAATGTGCAACGGATGAATTTGTGCATCACTGATCACTCCCAAAAGAATATGTTCACCGAATTGTTGAATGGAAAGTGATATACCTGAAATACGGTCATGAATACGCTTTATATTTGCTCAGCGTAAATTTCGATTTAAAAAAAAAAAAAACTTACTTCCATTGCTATGTGGTGGGCTGAAGAAAAGCACATCCAGAACATCATGTCCCCAGCATGTAATGTTCATGTTGGCCCTTTGTTGCAGTGCATTTTTGTTTCTCACAATTTCCGTGACTGTGATTGAAAATCGTCTCGACAAATAATTGAATATGATGACCGTCCATACGGATGGTAAGAATTTCGTTAAAAGATTGAATCTTTTGTGTAATTGAAATAGAAAATAGATGCCAACTTGATTTTCGCGTGCCACACGGAAATTTTGACGGATTTGTTTGAGTTGTTTGCGTGAAACTTTTTCCATTGGCAGAATTAAACTCAAATGACCCGATTCGTAGTCTTCATTATTCAAATAGCCTTGCAAAAAGTCATGATTGTGAAGTGAGGCAAAAACACGTATTTGCTTTGGCACCGGAACCGATTCATATTCATGCAGTAACTCCATGATGGTGGAACTATTGGCTGACATATACAGTTCGGATGGGCTGACCCCGTGTTTACTGCACGCCCGTCGAATGTCATTTACATCGATTTTTTTCGACCAAGATAATACTTTTCTACCGCACAGTGATATGTTTTGCAAAACATGCTCATCACTGCGATGGATTTCGATGAGCTCTTCATAAATGAAACGTGGCGCCTGCACAAATATACCAACCAATCGAAGCCACTCTTTGAATGCATTGTAACACAATGGAATGTAGGCAAACATAAAACCGATCAAAGTGTCGGGATAACCGACATGGCCCTGGAAGAAACAGTATCGAAACGCTTGCAATTCGCGATAAATTAAATGCGGCGAGAGAATGCTGATCGCTACACATGCCCAACAAATCCATTCGAACGAAACCTGTAAATATAAAATATTTGGGTTTTTGTTTGACAGTTAATCATTGTCACATATTACCTTTGTGATTCGAATCGGATTTAAAGTGGCCCACATTGCATGCCAAATCACTTCCCACGAAATGTTGCGTCTTTTGACTTCACGATTGATCAAACTGTTTAAGAATTTAATTTTAATCATTGGATGATGACGGGTTGCATAGAATCCTTTGTAAAAATCGCTTGCAATTGTTACATAGGAAATGAGCAACGATGCAAATAACTGTGGCAACGTTTCAATTGGAAGTGTTTCGACGGTGTTTAATTTTGAATCATCAAGCGATGGAAACTCAGTCGATGTCGTTGGCATTGTGACTGGTGCTTGAATGGTTGATGATTTTCCAACATACGGATCATACTTTGATTTGAATTCGTTCCATGCATTTGTTAGACCGATTTGTAAGCGCATGTACAGTTGTGGAATGTACACAGGATACTGCATAATATCCATGAGAGGTGATTTTGGTATTTGACGATCGATATCGGCTTCGTTTCTACCTAAGGGGAGATTCACAAAAGAAAAATAATCGTAAAACAATCAATAATAATAAGTAAGTAATTTTTCTACCGCTCAGTGTTGTACTCTTCGAATCAATAGCAAGTAGATCAGACAGGCGCAAATCGGGTTCTTCCGATATCAGTAAATGATGCATTCGCACAATGATATAGTAATGCTCAGTTGATGTCAAACGCTAAGCGGGTTAAATATCACGCGATGTTCGGTAGGACACGTATCGGTAAACAAAAAGAAAAAGAAATCAAAGTAAATAACATTTAATTCGGTCTATTTACACAGACAAGGAGTAAAGTCCAGTGAAAGAAATAAAACGTGTGTGATTATTACTAATCAATCATTAAACACTCACACTTATCGTGTGATAGCCGGGTACGGCGTTCGTATATGTCAAAAGAGACACGCTCTGGACCATTTATCTTACCATTGTAAAATCACTTGATGAGTGTTGCTCTTCTTCGGTATCATTGCCGCTGGCCGATTCAACTGATGAAGTGCTTGGCATCTCTTCGGTACGTGTTAATGATGTTGTGCCCACCACTGGTATCACACAAATTTGCCATGGTGGTTGGCCAATTGGAAAATATTTCGACACAATGTTACTTATATAATCCTGAATATTTGAATTGGTCACCGGACGGCCACGATAATTTGGCGGATATACATTGATGTGATTGTCAACCACAAATGATCTAAAATTGAATGGCCACCATATAATCTCAGCCCAAATAGAAAAAATTAATGTTAAATACGAAACAAAAATTACTCTGGACACATTTTCCAAGCGTAAAAACCCCAACACGTCACTAGTTTAGCTGATAATTTTGGAAACATTAACTCTCCCGATTTCATTTTCTTCTGTAAAACAGCACGCTCAATGCCATCACGAATGGCGTCGATATTTGGTTCGCCTTGCAAGTGTAAGATGACATTAATGATGCCAGGATTACGGGCTGTATAGCTAAAACTTCGTAGATTATCCTTTTTGACAAAAGTCAAATGTTGATTTTTTACTATGAGAAAATTGCGCCATAATAAACGAGACACCGACACAACTGGCACCCAATCGAAAATAATTGAAAAAGAAAATTATCACATTCCACCGTAATTGATTAATAAAAAAAAGGCTGGCTGTAATCAATGACTAATATGAATTCAAAGTCCATAAAACGAAGAAGGAAAAAAAATTATCATCGAAATGCTTTCTTACCAAAATAGCACAAAAGTAAAGGTTGAATGCAGATTAGAAATACAACAAAACATAGGAAAGTTTTGCCAGCTGAATAAATGCGCCTTTCCACAGAACTGAAATAGAGTGCAATTGTGATATTTGTTCATGCAAAAGAAAAGATCGCCATTTTATTTTCTATTTCAATACTTACTCTTCCATTTTGGATCTCCTGTTCTTATTTTTTCTTCAAGACAATATTATTTAGTCAGCATTTGTGTTCGGTATCAAATACAAATTGATTGATTGTGTGTCGACGTCAGTCGTTTTCTCACTATATAGTCAGAGATGATGTTGTTCGTAGTGCGGCATACAAACGACTGAATTGAATGCTTTGTTGTTGATACGTGATAAGGTCGATCGCATCCAACTGAACACACAACAATTCCCGATCTCAGAAAACGTTTTTTTTTTTGTTTTGTTTTGATTTGTTGCTTTTAATCAATTTTATATAAATAATTTAATTTGTTTTGTGCCTTCTTCCTGATATTCGTATCGCCGATAAGAGAACTTTCTTTCAAATGCAAAATTCAATTGTATTTGATGTTATCACTATGAATATTTTTCTTACGATTCTACCTTCTAATTGTGATGAATTTTCGGACTGTAGCACACTTTGTGCAAAAAATGCAATTGTCAAAGTTTAAACCACATGCATGATGTGATTAGCAAGAGATTTTCTGTATACACTGACGTTTATTTGATCGAAAAGAGATTGAATGAAGTAGACATACAGTGCGTTTTTTTCTATAATGGGGCAAATTTTAAATGAAACACACGATGTTGAGATAATTTATTGATGTTTTATTTGGTCTCTAAGCTACTTCGAGCACAATCAATATTTAATGCGTTCTCCTTCTTTGTCGATCACACGGGCACATCTATTTGGCATACTTTTGCTCAAATTTTCAGCATATTCAAGTTGAAAACCTTTCCACTGGCGTTGAATGAATGAACTGAGCTGCTTCAAATTGCGGTGTGTTTTACCGCGAAGCCTTGCCTTAATAAAAGCCTAAACATTTTCGATCGGATTGCAATCGAGTAACTGTGGCGGCCAGTCCATTTGTTTAATGTCATTTTCCCCTTTCCAAGCGATGCAGATACGACTTTTGTGTTTTGGACCGTTGTCTTCTAATAGAAGCCAATTCGAATTGCCGATGCCATAGAACTTCTTAGCGGTGGGTAACAGTGTTGATGAATAAAGTTGGTTCATCCTCATGGCGTTGCCCGTGAATACGGTCAACTTTCCAAAACCAGCTTCACAGAAGCAACCATAAACATGCACCTTTTGCGGATGCTTTACCGTGCGAACGACCACTCTCTTTTCGGCTCTAGACTAGGCATGGGTAGTGCTATTCACCAGCCAAAAGAATGACTCGTCAGTGTATATAACTTCGCTCCAATCTCTTGTTGAATTTTGATTTGCCCAGTCAAGGCGTTTTTTCTTCTGTTTTTCTGTCAAAAGGAATTTCTGATTTGACAGTTGTCGAAACCTAAGCTCGAAATAGCTTAGGGTCCCATTAGGCAACACCAAAATTATTTTTTGAATATTGAAACATTTCGGTGCTACTTCGTCACATTATAGAAAAAAAAACGCACTGTATTACTCTCAGAAAACTCAGATGTTAAAATTCAAAGTAATCAGAGCAAAATGCCATGGAGACATTTTGTCACAGGGTAAAATGTCAATTTACCCGCAACACATTTCCTGGCGGGTAAAACGGCATTTTAACATGGAGACATTTTTTCACATGTTAAATTGCCGTTTTACCCACAAAGAAATGTGTTGCGGGTAAAATGACATTTTACCCCGTGACAAAATATCTCCATGTTGTAATGGTATTTTGCTCAGATTACTTTGAATTTTAACATCTGAGTTTTCTGAGAGTACTTTTTTTTGCGTGGAACGACAAATACAGAAATACAGAAAGACCTTTCAGTTGACGTTTTTTGGAGAAAAGTTAAAAAAAATTGTTCGTTGCGCCGTCTTCTGTGATTGAGTCGCAATTCACATCAATACACAAAACACAACAAGCACCTAAGTGTAGCGCACACAAAAACGAAGTTCGTTGTGTTAGTATGTATTGGTGCGAATGATTTCACAATTGTTCGACATACAGCTATTCACTGGTTTGCCATTGGCATTGTCAACCAAAACGTTAGGCGACGCCACTGACGAAAAAATATTTCTTTTCGCCTTGTCACATATATTAAAAGTATAGGAATAAGGTCTTATTGCAGAAATACGTAAAGAAAAACACATGCACTTGAATTTTGACTATGTTTTCACATTTAATTCAATTTAATACTTTTTATATAATGAACACATAGAAATACGAAATCATTTTTTGGCTGTGAATTTGGTCGATATCTTCCTGGTCATGAAACATAACATAATCATTTTCGGGGTCTAAATGAAACAAACAAATCATATTTACCTTTATACGCAAAGAAAACCTTGGCATTTGCATTGACAATGAATTTAATTCTAATGAATTCCATGACTGTCGTCTTTGAGGCTTCATTCGATTTAGCCATAAATGATAGTATTTTATCAGAATTTTCGCGAATAACGGTGATTTTAATATCCATTTCATTTGGAAAGAAAATGTAAAAAACGCGTTGATTTTAGTTCACCGGTTTAAAAAATAACGAAAAAATGCTCAACGTATATGAATATACGAGGGCTGTTACTTATATTTTGGGGTATACGTCCTCAGAATGTTTTGTCATACGATCGCTATTTGTATTGTTTACAGTGACTTGTAAATTGCGTCTCAGCGAAAAAATGGAATTAACTCGTGAAAATTTTGGTAAAATGATTTATTACGACTTTCGACGTGAATTATCAAGACAAGAGTGTATCGATCAACTTGTTTCGACTTTTGGCGATGAAGCACCATCCTTCAGCACTGTGAAACGCTGGTACAGTGAATTCTATCGTGGCCGTGGTTCGCTCAAAGACAAGCCCCATGACGGTCGTCCAAAATCAGTTGTTGTTCCACAAAACATCGATGCTGTCAGAAACATGATAATGGAAGATCGTCATGTCACACACCGTGAGATTGAGGCATCTTTGAGCATTTCTGTTAAAAGAATACACACGATTTTGCATGAACATTTGGCCGTGAAAAAAATTTGCTCGCGTTGGATCCCACATAAATTGACCGATGATCAAAAAATAGCCCGTGTGAATTGGTGTAAAGAAATGCTCAACAAAGTGTATAAAATCGTGACAGGACGGTCAATTCTGATTGGTACACCACCATTTGTTTGCCCAAAGTGTTTGGTGAATTGAGAAAAAAAGATCGCCGTCGCAGAATAATTCTTCATCATGATAATGCGAGCTTTCACACATCTCATCAAACAACTGAATATTTGACCACTCAAAAGATCGAATTGATGGGTCATCCGCCGTACAGTCCTGAATTGGCACCCAACGATTTCTTTTCGTTCCCGTACATGAAGAATAAACTGCGTGGTCAACGATTTTCGACGCCCGAAGAAGCAGTTGATGCGTTCAAAACACACGTTTTGGAGGTGTCTCACGCGGAATGGAAAAACTGTTATGACAAATGGTTCAAGCGAATGCAAAAGTGTATTGATCATCATGGAGAGTACTTTGAAAAACTATAAAGCCATTTTCAATGATGAATTATTGTTTTTTTATTATTAGGCCCAAAATATAAGTAACAGCCTACGTATTAGGCGTATGTGAAAATTGTCTCGGAGGGCATCTGGAAAAAACACTTTCTAAAGGTTTTTTGGCATGCTGAAGCCGAATTTTCGGGTTTCAGGTTAAAAAAAATCAGGGGTTAAGGGGTTATGACCCCTGACCCCCCTAGGGGGTGGGGGAGCTGGAGGGCAGCCTACACAAAAAAATTCTATCATCATTCTGAACAACTTTGTAGAACAAGATTTTTTGATCCGATGGGAAAATCGACATCACCAAAAAAAATTGGAAAAAAAGAAGTAAACGACCATTTTTGCCAGTTTTTGTATGGAAATCGTATCAAAACGTTATTATATCGCAAAATAAATATCAAAAATAGATTCCTCGACCTCAAAAACCCCCGCATACACATTTGACTAGATAAAAAACGATTTTTAAATATTTTGGAAAATATCTATCTAGAAAAATTGGCAGACTCGAAATTCATACTTTTTTGCTTACCCCTCTCGATTTTTTTCAATTACACAGTTTGGTCAATTACAACTCATTTGGATGGACCGATCTTAACATATATCGTCAACAAAGTATTCGATTCAGTCTCTTATCGCTGATAAGAAGACGCACTCTAGTGCAATCGAATTATTTTTCAATATGAAATTCAATTGTATTTTTGTTATCACAAGACATTCTTTGTTTTCATGATTAGAGTTCTTTTTTTCTTTTGTTTTTGTTTGACTAAGACTACGTGAATTTATTTGCTTCGGACAATTATATACTTACGAATGCATATTCATGTGTTTATGTATCAATTGTGCCGTTAGCCAAGCGACACAGTGTGCATGGTTAATTTGTATAGTAGCTGATGTGATGCTTTATATACTGAAACGATATTTATGTTACCAACATGCACGATTACAATAACAATATACCGATGCGACACTTGCTGTGCGTAGCACATTTGATTATCTTTGTTTAGATGATTGTGAAAAACGAGTCAAACAATAAACTGATTCTATTTACCAAATGCAATGTGTCATATCACCCTGAAAAAGTCATTATTCCTGTGAAATGCAAATAAAACTCGTTCGATTCATATTTCTTATTGCCTTATGTGATAAGGATTTAATTTCAATATTTCTTCAAAAACTTTGTTAATGCTTAAAACAAAATTCATAATACGTCTTTGATGCGCTTAATGCGTTTGTTTGAGGTTGATTTCTTTGGGCTTGGCTTCACTGGTTCTAGCACAGCTGCAGCAGTTTCCATTGCAATAAGGTCACTTGATTCCATGGGTATCGATTGATCCCCATCATCGTCCGACACATCGTATTCAACATCCAGTGAAGTTGGTTGTCGATACTGTGTTTGCATTCGATTTCTTCCCGTTCGGGCTTCTACCAAATTGGTCGGTACAAATGTTGGCTTCTGCGGTGAAATGCTTTCTTCACGCTTCGCAATTTTCTTTGACAATGGTGAAATCATACCTTCAAAACTATCAATCGAACAGTTGAACACTTTTGATGGTGACGTGTATTTGGTATCGTCGAACTTTTCCGTTATGTATTTCTTTCGATTCAATTCCGGTGCACCTTCCAATTTGTATTGATTGATTTCAGCATCCTTTTTGTTGATTATTTCAATCAATACCTTTTCATTGTCTTCCATTTCGCCAATTTGTTGTAGCAACGGCTTGGTGATCTGCTCGAAAAATACCTGTGCATCCCGTTTTTTCAACAACCATTGGAATGTACATCCCATTTCATCCGTCAACGAATGCTGCAGATGAATTTCGTCGTCATCGTTGGTGTATGCATCGATCTTGGCACTTTCGAACGCAAAAATTTCACTTATCAACTTTTCCCCAATCTCGTCGTCAATGTTCAATGCCGGATTTGAATCGGCTAATCGTTGGATCAGATCAAATTTATCGGTGAATGATTCGCTCCATAATGTTTTGAAATCACTTAACCACAATGTGCACGATCCCAAATTATCAGCATCTTTTCGATTGAGCTTGGCAATGTATTGGTCGGTGCCAATTTTTAATTTTGACCATTTCTCCATTTTAACATTTGTATCATGCAATAATAACTTCAAAACATTAATTTTTTGTTGGCAGAATGATTTGACAAGATTCCTGTTATAACACGAATGCACATGAAATGCACAAACACACCGAGAGAAATGTCAAATTTGACGGCTGACAGGTTGATTCACTGAGAGCGCCAAAATTGCTTTGAATTCAAATGAACTCACATTGACGGTGTGCATTTTTGTGTAAAAATAAAAATATGAATTTGAAACGGAAGGAAAAATTACAATTTTGTTCATTTTGTTAGAGAGAGAGAGAGAGAGAGAGAGAGAGAGAGAGAGCAAACAATCATTTCAAATCAAAGCTACATTTTCCTGAATATCAAATCATCATGACTCGGTGGTTATGTGTAGTGAATATGCAGCTTTTGAATTGATGACTAACACTTGTTGACATTTTTAAGACCCAAACGAGTTTGTTCACTTTTTTATCAGATTCATTTTGATTGAATGAACATTCAAGGCATTGTACTTATTAGTTTTAGATAATTCTACCAATACAACATGCATGAGATAAAGCAATTTGTGAATGTATGTGAAAATATGATTTTTTATGGAATAATAAAAACTGTGGTACTGAAAATGTGTGCTGCTTTTCAAATTCTGTGTTTGTATATTCGAACTGGCGCTGTTGGCATACTAAATACATGATTCCACTGTAAAAACGTGTTGCCCGATGTAAATGTGAGAATACTAAAGGTTTTTGCGTCGTATTCTCTCTCTTTGTTACAATCTACTACGATGCTCAAAACATATGTTTGTTGTAAATAAAAACTATCTCTCAAAAACAACATATCATTGTGTATCATACGTCTGTAGAGTGAATTTCATCACACAGTGAACCGTGTTTCAAATACATCGCATATTCTAGAATAGCTGCTGTATTCTGAATCATTTCTGCAGTAGTTTGCCTGTTCATTGGTGTTGAGTGCATATATAAAGTACGGTGTATTCGAGAATATCTTCATTTGCTGTCGTATCGTTCGCAACGAAACATCGTAGTTCATTACGTTCAAAGGTCTTTGGTAAAAAAAAAGTGTGTGTTTGACGATTTAAAGAAAACAAAAACAAAAAAGAAAACGAAGATAAAAACATCAAAATGTCGCGCATTTACAAAATTTGTGTTGTAAATAATTTGACCGAAAGTGCTGGCGAAGTGTTTGCTGTAAAACCGTATTTGGAAAGTTTCGATAGTTTCAAGGATGAGATTTTTATTCGTATGCCGGAGCTCAAAAACCAACCATTGAAAATTTACTATCAAGGTAAGCGGCCATATTGAATGCATATTTTGCGTCGTTTCAAAACGTTCCATGGACAATGAACCTTTTATTATTCTCTGAGTCATTAGTTTTTGAATTTCACAATATCCGTGTAACGTTATGAAATACCATGTTTTTTTACATTTTCATCAATTTCTTCGCGTTTTCAGTATTGGAATACAATAGTATCAATTCTTTTATTAAATTTTTATGATTTTTTCGGAAAAAATTTCTACAGATGCTGATGGTGACAAAATTACAATTTTCAATGCATTGGACTTTGCTATTTTCCAAGAGCAAAAGATTAACAAGGTCTTTGTTGTGAAGGGTGCTCCGACAAAGAGCGTACAATTCCAGGAAATTGTCGCACCATCGGTGAGCAACACACCAATTGCATCGAATTCAACATCATCGAATCGTATGCATCATGCAAATGTGGTTTGCGATGGTTGCGACAAGGAAATTTATGGCTATCGCTATAAATGTTTGGAATGTCATGATTTTGATTTGTGCATGGAATGTGAACCGAAACAGCACAATCATCATTTGATGATTCGCATCGCTGATCCAAGCGACGCGGAAATTTGCTACCGTTCGAAATTGGGTAAGCGATTCTTGCGTCATCGTCGCAGCGAAAGTCTCTGCGCCAAAGATGAAAAAATTGCAAAACATCATCACAATCCGCATCATCATGGTCACAAACGGCAATCATTGGGCGTATCGGCTCGACGACCAAATTCATTCTTTGAACAAGTTATTGATGTATTGCATGGCGTTAACACTCCGAATCAGAATGCAAATGCACCGAATGTAACCCCAGCTCAAGGCACAAATAATGGAAATGAAAAGAAAACCGGATGTGGTACATCATCAAAAGCCACACCAAGTGCACCACCGACTGCACCGTCATATGGTTTTAATTTTTGTAATAACAATGGTAACGCAAAACCAAAGTCTCCATGCGTTCCGTTGAAACAAAGCATTGACATGTTGTCACATATGGCACAAAACTTTGCCACTATGATGGATCCGTTCGGTGCATACATGGAATCGTTGGCCAGTGCCAATCACACTGCATCGTCAGCCGCAACATCGGCAGCTACGGCAAAAGAATCAGCAAAAGCAGCTGCAACTGCAGCAGAAGCAGCAGCAGCAGCAGCAACATCGGCAAAAGCCACTGAAAACGTCGCTTCACCAAAGGAAAATGTATCGGCCAGCGCTGAGAATAACGAACAAAAAGTGGATGAAGACGCATCAATGACTAACCAGGAACCAAGCAAGGTGTCAGATGCTATTGTCATCGATTGTAGCGACGATGAAGACGAAGACCTTCGTAACATGGTTCTCTCGCTTAATGTCAATTCGACGGAAGCAAACAAAGAAGCATCAAATGATGCCATCAAAAAAGATGAAAGTGTCGAATCGATTGAGAACGAAAAAGGTTTGTTACCATTATTATTTTTATTAAAACAAAAAATTTCAAATTACATTGTTACTAAATGATCGCTTTGAACAGCTTCCCCAAGCCGTGAATGGACATTCATCGAAAGCAACGAAATCGATGAGTCGGCTGGTGCATCTGGCTCCAGCACCGGGGCAATTCCAAAGAAATCAACTCCACCGCCAGCTCAAAATTCTGGCAGTTCCAACAACGTTGATTACGCTGAATTGTCACGTTTGCTATCGACTCACATTGATGCTCAAAAACAAAATCAAACAACCGTTCCACCACAAACTGACGAACAGGCAAAAACTGATGTCACTGATGGTGCCAATGAAAATGCGGTCAAATTAACCAAGACACCACCACCGACCCCATTACATCCAGGTGTGTTTTTTATTTAAAAAAAAATTCTATTACATATTTAAAAGTGATATTCCTTTCTTGAACCATACTAATAATGTGCGAACATCTTTTCAGACGCTCGTGTCAACGAATCATTAACCGCAATGATGGCAATGGGTTTCAGCAACGAGGGTGGCTGGTTGACTCAACTTCTGGAAACAGTCGACGGAAACATTTCGAATGCTCTCGATCTCTTGCAGCCACACAAATAAATGGTCATCATACAAACTGACCATTCGTGACACTGACATACGGACGAATTTAATGATGAAATGACTTTATTGCTACTATTCTTTATTCTTTATGCATTCATATACTATATTGTAGCACTATAACATATTCTTAAACACATTTTTATCATTTATATATATATATATATATATATGTGCATGTGAATTATGAGTATTATTCACAGGTGTTGGGATAGTTTAGAGTTCACATTTGAAAGGAACATTGAAATAATATATATATATTGACAAAATATTAAAAAAAATATATAAAATTTTAAAATCACAAAAATATCTTATTATACCCCCGGAAGATCAATAAAAAAACTATGCTGCAAGAAAAAAATCAAGTTTTTTTATTTACATGATTAATGAAAAAAGCATTGTTAAGAAAAATGGAATTTATGTTCGTAGTTCGACTGGTGGTGAAATGTGCAACTAATTTGACATGGTCGAAGCGAGAAAAAATGTTTTGACGTGTCCATTTACGATACATTTGTCATTTAAGCCGTATTCATTGATTCGACCGCATCAAACATTTATTTTCCATTTATTCCACATTTTTTTAGAAACAAACGCATCCAACTCCACAACAAAGATGACGAATTTAAGTGTAGTTCTACAAAAATTCTACGATGAATACGTAAACAATACGCCGAAAAAGTTAAAATTGATTGACGCCTACTTGTTTTACATTGTCCTCACCGGTGTCACACAGTTCTTGTATTGCTGCTTGGTCGGAACATTTCCATTCAACTCATTTCTGTCTGGATTCATCTCGACTATTAGTTGCTTTGTACTTGGCGGTGAGTAAAACCATTTTATTTCGAAAAAAAAACGTAATTCAAGAAAATAATTGATTACCATTGTCCGATTGCAGTTTGTCTTCGTTTGCAAGTGAACCCAGATAACAAACAACAATTTGCGGGTATTTCACCGGAACGTGGTTTTGCTGATTTCATTTTTGCTCATGTTATTCTGCATTTGGTTGTGTTCAACTTTATCGGCTAGAGCAAAATTGTATTCGAAAAATGGATTTTAAGCACAACGTGATTACAAAACAGTGTTTAAAATGCGCTGCTTCACATACTTTCCTATACAAATAAATCGTAATTAACTGAATAAACTTGAATTTGTCTGCAATAGAATCTTAATTGAAACATGAAATAAAAGAATGTCTTTATCACAAAATAATCGAAATCATCGAGCATTTATTTATTGTGGATTAGTGAACATAATTTGTATTTGGTTGCACCTAAAGTTTTCCAATTCTATCATGAAAATATTGAACCATTTGAGCAAAGTCAGCGTAGCCCGACAAGGAAATTGCTTCATCCTTGGGCAGCCAACGGAATTCGGTGTGTTCATCCGACAGTGTTGGATTGTTGTGACCGTCTTTTAGCTCGGCAAGCCAGTAAACCACAGTCTTATTTTTTCCTTTGACTTTGTAATTTAGGATCTTCTGTTCATCCTTGTATATCTTTAAATCGTCTGCGCTGTAGCCAGCTTCTTCTCGCGTTTCACGCAATGCCGTTGTAAAATCATCTTCTCCTGGATCTACATGGCCTGCATATCAATACATAATACGTTGGTTTCTGATTAATTTTTTTTCATTCAAATGATTCATTTGAAATGGATAATATCGAATGATTTACCTTTGGGTGGGGTCCAGTGATAATTTCCATATGATGCTTTCAACAGCAGATATTCGATTTGTGAATTCAATCGTCGAAAAATCAGAAAACCGGCTGCTCTTTTCCTCATTTTTATCATTAATATTTAATTGCCAATAGATATGGTTTTGACATTTGACGAGATTACATACGATTTTTCGCTGTCATTGTAATTTATCAACTAACTTTTTTACCAAATTGGTGCTGCAGGTGGCGCGAATATCAATTTGATGATAATCATTTCAAATATTTAAATATACTGAACGGTATTTTAATCTGCCTTTTATCAAATATCCAAATGAAAGTCCTTTGGGCATTTTCACATTTTGTCAATGGTGACATAAGATTAAGAAATTGACATTGCCATTTTACTTTTACTGTGTGCAGTAAAGTATTGCAATCACCCCAAAATTTTAAATTCGCTAAAAATCGTTTTTCTTCGCGTTTTGTGTCTAGAAAATCATAGAGCAACGGTTTTTTGGGGTAATGTTAATGTGGGGTACACTGTATACTGTACGCAAAAATTAGTTAGCACGACAACTCTTCTTAGAAAAAAGTAAAAACAAATCAGATTTTATAAGGTGAAATTTTGTCTATTAAAAATAAAAATCTTTGTGCACAATTGTAAAAGCAGAACTTTATGAAAAATCGAATCAAATCTGTTATTTAATTCATCAAGTGAATGGAGCAAAGGTATGAAAACAAATTTGTCTTTATAAGAGAGACATATCATTTTCGCTTTGATTTGCTTGTCCTTATACATATGCTTTGTCCTTAAAAAGTCTCCATTTGACAAATAAATATCATTTAAATGCGAAGAGTGTGGCAGAGTAAAAAAATCATATCCCTTTGATTGAGACACCATAAATAAAAAACGACCCATCTACTTGTGTTGCATATGTCATTGAAACAATTTCGCCTGCTGGAAAATGAGGGCCGACCATCTACTTATACTGAATTGTGTTCATTCTGGTGGCGTATTTTTTAGATAGCCAACGGCTGGGGAGCCATACTTTTTGTATAAATTTCAGTTGTATGACCGCAACAATTTTTGTGAACTCTAATGTGAACAATATGTCTCTTTGTATTTAGTAAATACTATTTACACTCTACGTCTTGCTCTACGTAGTTTATCATGAAAACAGCAAAAAAAAGTTATTTTACATATTTTTTTAAAGATTTATATCATTAAAGAAATCAGTAGATCATTTGAAATACAATGAGTCACCAATAGTTCACAGTGAGCGACTTTCGGCTATTATTACTTATTCTGTCTTGGCGTAATAAAATATTTTTGAATACAATTCACTGGCCGTTAAACATAAACAACATTTATCATCCAATATGATTTTTAAATAAGTTGTCGTTTTTGTGTTGGCCTTTATCAAATGATAAAGTCATTATACAAATATTTCCTTTTTGAACTATTCATCAAAATTGTCGTTTCAATGGTGGGAATTTCAATGAGGCAATTTCATTTATTATCGTTACTTTCGTTTAGTTAGAAAAATTATTTCGAAAGAAGTTGAACAAAGCTGTAAAATTAAAACAAATCGGGTTCGTATAGTACCGGGTAGAAAGAGACATAAACCATATTTGTGATTTATGAGAAATCGTGACTATCTACTCAATTCTATTCACAATAAATTAGCGTAAAAAAATACATCTCCAGTGTTTAATCGAAATGCAGTGGTCGATACAAATTCATTGCATCTCTTAGAGTAGTATCTACTAATCTTAGAGTAGTATTGCCTTGACATTGGCATAAAATAAATTCCTGTTAAAAAAACCAAATAATATCATAATAAATCAGATCTAGTTCAAAGATCTAGAAAATTTTCCTTTCACTCAAAAAAATCCATTGCTGACATATTATGTGCCTGACACCAATCTCATCATAATTGTTTGCACATATTTTTGTAAAATTTTCCATTTGAAATTCGTCTCTTTTGGAATTTTAGCGATTACATTTACTTCGGGTCTATTCTAAGTATTGATGCTTTATGTTAGTAATTTACAAAACAGTTCATCTAAAAACGATAGCAAGTCAAAGATTATGCACATTTTGATGTCAAGTGAATAATGACACAGACGTCGGTCACACACATTTTCAAAGTCTTAGTTTGTTGGTATCAAAAAGGCCCGTCTTTATGCACATGCAGATATATCTTTAGTATATCTCATTTTGTTTATATTTACATTCGTTTGGTAATTTTTCTGCAGTATATCTTCTCCTATCAAGTGATTAACTGGGACAATGAATGATAAAAATGACTACGAAATGAATTTTGATTTGATCGTGTCTTACTAATACACAAGTATCTAGATAAAAGTTGTCACGCATTCTTATCAGTGTAAAATTTAGTGATCAATGTGATAAGATGCATTGAAGATAAGTTTAGCAAAAAAAAATCCCTCATTTTAGTATAAGCTTCATAACCGAGCACAGCAAATCGTGCCAGACTGGATTTAAAAAAAGAAAAGAAAAAGATAGAATGCCTAAAAAAATGTATTTGTGTTTACAGTCATTCAAAATGGATATGGAGCGACTACCTCTTCTCAAAAATACTACACGTACAAGTTCCGTGGACGCAGAAGATAGACGTAAGTTGTTTGAATCCAAGAGATACTTTTAAAAATACTCCACTTTTTTCTTGCGCTAAAATATTCTTGATACAGGTTCAAAATTCTTAGGTCCATCGCATTTGCATGAAAATTACGAACCACACTTACATCGGCAAGTAGATCATCCCACGTCAAATTTAGACACGATAATACATTTGCTCAAAAGCAATATTGGCACTGGGATTTTAACCATGCCGCAGGCCTTCAAGTATGCCGGTTTATACTTGGGTTTATTTGGCACTTTTTTCATGGGATTCATAGCCACACATTGTATGCATATGTTTCTTGCTTCAGCAAATGAATTGTGCCGCAGACGAACAGTGCCGTCCATGGATTATTCAGAAACTTGTTACAGTGCATTTTCAACTGGCCCACCACGGCTTCGAAAGTTTGCACCGCACGCAAAGTAAGAAAGTCACACGAAATTGCCAAGCAAATAACATGATAATTTTGTTTTTTCTCCAGGTATATCACAAATACGTTTTTGGTTTTGTCGCAAATGGGATTTTGTTGTGTTTACTATTTGTTTGTAGCAAAAAACTTACAAGACGTCGGCAACTATTACTATGGACCAATTGATGTCCGATATTATTTGGTGGTGTTATTGATACCATTGATTATGCTGAACTTTTTAAAAAATTTAAAAATTCTAGCTCCCGTATCACTGTTTGCATCTATTTTGACAGTAATTAGTGTGTACTGCTCATGTATTTAAGTTCTTCATTTATTCGTTGATATTTTCATTCATTTTAGGTCTTGTAATTGTATTTTATTATATTTTACATGACATTCCAAGCACGAAGCATGTACCAAAAGTTGGTAGTTTGAGTGAGCTTCCGCTATTTTTTGGTATAGTTATCTACTCTTTCGAAGGTATAGGAATCGTTCTTCCTTTAGAGAATAATATGCGAACTCCAAAAGCCTTTGACGGCTTAACGGGAGTCATGAACACCGGCATGGTTATCATTGCTGCATTGTATGCTGCGATCGGATTTTTCGGCTATTTGAAATATGGAGACTGTGTTGCCGCAACAATCACGCTGAATTTAGATCGAAGCTCAATGTAAGAGATCATTAGTCATATTTTGTCAAGAACTGATTTATTTTACACAATTTCTTTCGAAAAATTATAGTGTTGCCGAATCGGTGCGTGTGATGTTTGCCATTGCGATATTTTTTTCGTATAGCCTGCAATTCTATATACCAATGAAAATAATCGGACCTTGGTATCGTCAGTTGTTTTCAGAACAACGTCAAAATCTATACGATGGCTTATTACGCATCGGTTTAATTGTCCTCACGTGTAAGATAACATAAATGAAGTGAAAATTGAAAAAGAAAATGCATCATCTGCAATTCACTTGTTTTACAGTCATTTTTGCTGCTGTTGTGCCAAAATTGGGTCCTATCATATCTTTGTTTGGAGCTGTCTTTTCATCATCGCTTGCATTGATATTTCCACCAGTCGTTGAGGTGCTTACATTCGGTTCGAAGGGAATGGGTCGATTTCATTGGAAACTTTTGAAAAATATGGCTATCATAACATTTGGTATTTATGGTTTTGTATTGGGTGCCTATCTGAGCATTTTGGATCTGATGAAATAATGGAATATGAAATTAATTTAAATATTATTTAAACAAGTTTACTTGTACTTGCTTGACGATAATGCACTTTTTTTGCCATGTATGTTATTGACTGATTTTTTTAAAAATCAATTTCTTATCATGTATATTTCATAAATAGAGCCAATTAAACACTCAAGTACTATATACAATTATACATATACTCAATCTATCACGTGCGATAAGTAATAATTATATGACTGTAGTTTTTTTGGGTAAAACGTTTTCAATGAAAAAAAAAAATTTGAAGACGGCACGTTTATTGTTTCAAAAAAGAAATATTTATTGGAATTTCAAGAAAATAAGTACATAGTGGAGATAATGTTTATTTATCTCAATTATATCATATAAAAAAATGAAAATAAATTTAGAGGGTCTTTGCAAAGCCATCGAATTCGTTGAGAATTTCTGTGAATTCTGGAATGTCACATATCAATATTGCGTCTTCTTTGCTCATCCACCTTAAGAGTAAAAGTGTATGTAATTATTTGCGAGTCATTATCATGCTCAAAATCAAAGTAATTTTACCGATATTCAGAATGTTCGTGTGAAAGTTTTGGTTGTTTGTTCCCATCTTTCAGCTCGGCCAACCAAAATTTCACGGTCTTTTTCTTCCCTTTTTTCATTGGTTGCTCCATTGCTTGATTATGTTCCATATGAATATTCAAATCGCCGACAGTGTATCGTGTCTCTTCATGCGTTTCTCGTACGGCGGCCGTGAAAAAATCTTCACCATCATCGACTCGACCTAAAAAAACAGATTGTGTTATCACATTGCTCTGATGACTGAATTCAAATTCGGTTTATTTATAAGAGTCTATCGCTTGATAAAATAAAATGTATTCACAGACAAAAAAAAATCCGACAAATCACTCATATCAATTCTCTATCAAAACAAATATACATCATATGTATGACAATTGTCGACATTATACTTTGTAAATAAATTCCACATTTTCAATCATTTCTATGGAAATTTTGTTTTCAAATTCGATTTTAAATCGAATGAATTACCTTTGGGTGGTGACCATTTCTTCTTATTGCTCTTTGGTTTCAACATCAAATACTCGATCGCGTTCGTGTCGTTTGTACGTCGAAATACAACCAATCCAGCCACTTTTTTCGCCATTATTCCAACTGCAAAATAGCTCAAAGTCAAAACTAAAAATACTACAAATCGATTAGCTTGCATCGCGTGTGTTCGCTTCAAGTGCTAAAAGTGAATTAAGGAAACTAAATTTTCTTCTGCACACTTATAGTTTTTTTTTGCGATGGATGTTTTATTATTTTATTACTGTTTACCAATTATTCTCTTTTCAGTTTTCAAAGATAAGTATTGAAAAATGAACAGAAAGAGAGAGAGCGAGTAAGAATAAATATTTGGTTTTAGTCGTTGACACAATTGCACAAATATGAAATGAAAGAATGAGTAGTAGCTCGTCGAAAATATAGATGGCATTGTTGCATCCATTTGTAGTCTCACATCAACGCGAATAACACAAAATATGTGCGTATGTATTGAAATTGATTCATTGACAACAGCAGAGACATTTGGCTATTACACGTTTAGAACTTAGTTGTATTTACTCGATGATACAACATTCGCACACCATTTATTTACGTCTGGTGTGAATTAAAGTTCAAAATATTTTCATTGATTTCACAAATTTTCGGTTCGAATTCTTTTTTTTTTATTTACAATTAATTGCACACGCATGTCATTTTGCTCTATCGGTGCACAATACTTCAATTTAGTATTTATATATAAAATTAATCAGCTGTTTTCGACTATCGTGAATGAAAAGAAAAAAATACTTTGCACAATGACATACGACAACAAATGGAATGACGTGAATTTATTTTGTGCATCATTCAATATGTAAATTAAAGCACAGTGTGACAAAGCATCCGAGTGACCCATTTTCATTATCATATTGCACTTGAAATTGCAAAAATTCAATAGTTCTTTTTGTTTCGTTGAGTGTTTTAAGACAATTTTACTATCATTTATTTTCAAGCCCTGAGTGAAAGCAGTCGAAAATTATCTGCCCAAATTAAAAAAAAATACATTCCATTGATTCTTCTTTGTAGAGTGTGAATATTATCATTATTTTGTTTCATTGATGACGATTCATGAACTTGAACGAAGATCGATTGAGCACAACATTTTTTTTTCAGTGTTTTCACTATATGTTCATTGCACACATACACTCACACGCAACAGCTTTGTCATCCTTTGTTTTTATATGCCAGCCGTATTTGACGTGTACTGCGTAGTCGTAGAAATTTTGCGCAAATTTTCATTTGAAATTTCGATTGCGTGAAAAATTCGATAATTATTTGTTTCGTTTGTGAATCTCTTCAACGATGACAGAACTGAACATTCTTAACACCAATTCAACCGAACAACAAGGAGTAAGTTTTATTTTTCATTCATCAATTTCATTCAGTAGATAAGTGCATTGTAAATAAATCATTGGGATGGGCAAATATATGCTGGCATTAATTATCGTTAGTTAAAGATTAAGTGGTGCGGTGATGGTGGTAGATGTTTCCTCTGTTTGTGACACACTAACAACAAAATGTACCAAATTCATTGTGTGTTAACACACTTTTTTTCAGCCTATGTTTATCTGAAAACCCATATAAATATTGACTAAGCCAAACATATGTTGCACTTGTTTAAACGGTGATGGAAAATATTGCATTAAAATTGGTTGTTATTTAACTCTAGAAATCCAAATAGACTCAATAAAAAAAAGAACTCGGTCAAGAATCCAAAATCCAAATTGTAGGCCAAATTCATTTTTTTGTTCCATTAAATGTCATATCATTCGTGCCAAAGATATTCGACTTCATTTGGTGTATTTTGTGTTTCAAAAATTCTGCAAATACTTAAGTTTTATTTTAATGGAATTTTCCACTCGGTGTCGCTTGACACCGACACGTGAATCACTCTCCATTGCCATTTGTTTGAAAATTCATATATTTTTTGTTTTGTTTTGGTCTTACACGTTCTTTCTTCGTATTTCTTTTATCGCATTTTTATCCGTTTTCTCTTTGTTGCATATTCTGTATCGGTTTACAATTTCTATGTTGAATCGGTTGAACTGGTACACATAATTTTTTATTTTCTTGATGATTAATTCATTATTTTCATTTTCTATGTTTTTAATTTGATTACAGTGAAGTGATATGTGGCTTTGGATGATGTCGTCAGTATAAATATTTAATAAACGTTGATAGCTTGTCGGAGACTCAACAATTTTTCCAAGTCGATTAGATTCAAACGCCTCTTCGCATTGAAATCAAGTTCAGAAAAAAAAAAACAGTATTATAAAATTGTCGACAATCTACAATTTAATATAACGCACTTGAATAATACACATTTAACAAGTTATCACGTTTCTATATTCTACTTTCCAACCACAACACATATTAACCATATATTTTAATTTCGATTCGGTTTTTTTATAAAGGTATGTATAATTTTTGTTTTCTTTTTGATTTTTCTTTTAATTTTTACACAAGTCTATTGAAACTCACATTTAAAATTTGTTGCACAATTTGCACACCTTCGAATACGTTCCGCTAAGTCATAGTTCTATCGATAAATTCTGTCTATATATTCGTTCGAATGTAACTTTTTGCTCGATGCAGCAACTGCGCTTTATTTTCCATTTCATTTTCGATTTCTACTTTGTTTCGTTTTTATTTGATATTGCCTTTTTTTTCTTCATCGGTTGGATGAGAGATCTTATTGTCAAAGGTCGGACAAGGAGCTCGAAAAAAAGGACCGAGATTCACATTTCATGAAATACAAAAAAATGAATTATCATTTATTTGAAGAAAAAAAAAACTATCAAACATTTTTTATTGGATGGTTTTTTTCTCGTCCAAATTTCGTTCGTTATCACACATAAAAAACAACTGTTCGCTATCAATTGTATATATGTTGTCGAGAGTGTGTGTCGATCATACTGCTTGAATATGAAATTGATTACATTATATGGAAAGCATTTCTCTGCTAATAAAATTGACGTCTACTGCATTTTGACCCCAACTGAAAAGTAACAACCAAAATTATCTTCCTTCAAACTTTATTGAATGATCGGAAAAAAATCACAAATATTGAAGGACACGCGAGATTGATTTCTTGTCAATTTTATTGGATTGATGGAAATTCGGTTTGCGAAACCAAAAAAACGGCAAAAAAAAAATTTGTGTACTATTGTAATTAAGTGTGCATGTTATGGAAATTTTTTATCTTTTACATTGGCCACACCCCTGCAATAACACCAAAGTTTTCCGTGATCTATAAATGCATGCACGCACACAAATGTAAAACGGTTTGTTTTGTATTTGAAACCCGTCCCTGTAGCCGCAGTGCAACAAATACGAAAATTGCACGCAAAATAGTATACATTGAGTTATCTGTGGCCCCGGATAGAGGCATGCAAATAAAACGCAGATGAGTTCATCGAGGATCCCAAATGTTGTTCAGGCACACAATCTGTGAAAAATTCAGTTCAGTCACATTTTAAACACCGAATCGATCGCACGAAATAACTTCGCACAAATAAGTTTGACTCAAACATATTGGGGCATTTTCTCGAATTATAAACCGAATTTCTTGGTTTCTCGACATTTCTACAAAAAAAGTAAAGTTTTTGAATAAATTTGTATTTGCCACACAGTTCAACATCAGCTTCAAAATGTTTAAAGTTTTTTTCACAAAGGTAATTTTTTCCATTCTCCAAATTGATAAGAGGTGAACAACTGTTTTCTTAAAAATTAAAATTAAACAATTAATTGTGTAAATTCATTGGTGCTATCACATCGATATTGCGGAAATTTCCAAGACGTAGAGGCGTCTCCGAATCGTGCCCATTGAAAATCTCATTAAAATATCAGCCGACTTGCCAAAGCCGTGTGATAATGCGAACGCCTGTTTTGTAATTTAATTTCCATTCACATGAATTTGTTTAGCGTTACGCATGCGTTCATCTTATGCATTTCAATATTGATTAACGGTCAATGAAAGTTCATAAAATATTTTTTTTTTTTTGTTCGCGCCATTTTACTTATCACCATATAAGTACTAGTGCAGCTACAGTCATTGTCCATATTATTCAATGAATGACCTGATTGTGATATCTCAAATGTCGACTAAATGTCTCGAAAATTTTCCACTCAACTTCACTAACAATGTAGTCGATTGAGCAATGTGCAGTGCATGCACCGAAATGACCGGAACGAATGAAGAAAAACATGAGTGAAGATAATAGAATTTAATTTTCCGGGAACACAGCCTCGCATTACAATGCGTTTCCGAACATAGTGGTGTAGTCACGAAACATGCATTAACATTAAAAACGATTGTTATCAACAAATAGTTGCTCTCATTTCCAGTGCCCAATCTCATCGGCTATGAATCACGTTTCGAACGTTAAATGCACTGAATTGAAAGGCTGCAACAGTGCAATGTATTATCAAAACAATGAAGAAAAAAACGAGGAATCTATGACACATCCACTTTTTTCTTTTGCACAAATCGTATATATGTCAAATAAACGAATATTTTACATGAAATTCAACGAAATTGAATTGTAGTCTGTTTTTTAGTCAATATTTCAATGAATATCACACATTTTGGTTTTTATGTTTGCAGTTGAACAAAATGAATCCAGAGCGGCGACCATTGCTTATGGATGCCGAAGTACAGGGGAGGAGTGCGAGACCGAGACCCGATTTACGTTCATCACCCGATTCGGTGTTGGTTGATGTGAAGAGCGAAGATGAAGGTAAATCGCATCACATTGAATTCATTCATATTTACATTCTGTAGTGAAATTAATAAAAAAAATTAAATTCATTAGGTTGCTCAGAAGGATCATCGTACGGATCAAAGGATTCGCTGGAAAATTATGATCCATCGTTGCATCGAAAGTTGGACCATCCAACATCAAATATCGATACAATGATTCATTTGTTAAAAGGCAATATTGGAACAGGTATTCTCGCGATGCCGGACGCCTTCAAAAATGCCGGCCTCTATATGGGACTATTTGGTACACTGTTAATGGGGTTGATTTGCACACATTGCATGCATATGCTGGTTGGATGTTCACACGAACTGTGTCGTCGACTGCAAATACCGTCAATGAATTTCGCTGAAGTGTGTTATAATGCATTCGAAACAGGTCCAAGCGGACTACGAAGGTTTTCCAATTTGGCTAGGTACGATTTATTCGAGCTATTTTTGTTTTTATTTTTTTTTCTTGTTTAAAGACATATCACACGAACGACCTTTTCTTTCCACAGGCAAACGATAAATGTATTTCTGTGCATAACTCAGCTTGGATTTTGTTGTGTGTATTTTGTATTTGTTGCGGTTAATCTACAAGAAGTTATCTCACATTACTTTATTCACATCAATGTTCGCGTATATTTACTGTTGCTGTTAATACCGATGATTATGTTGAATTTTTTGAAAAATTTAAAATATTTGACGCCGGTTTCATTGTTTGCATCAATTTTAACTGTCACCGGTGAGTTGAAAACAGATTGTTTATGAAGGCGTTCAACGAATGTTTATCTCAATGGGTTCATTTTTCAGGCATTTCAATCACATTCCATTACATGCTCCAAGACCTACCGAACACAGACACGGTGGCTAAGTTCGCTTCGTGGGAACAATTGCCATTGTATTTCGGGACTGCGATCTATGCATTTGAAGGCATTGGTGTTGTGCTCCCATTGGAGAATAATATGAAGACACCGCAAGACTTTGGCGGCCTAACAGGCGTTTTGAATACGGGCATGGTAATTGTCGCCTCATTGTATACTGCTGTCGGATTTTTCGGCTACTTGAAATACGGAGACAAAGTTGCTGCTACCATCACATTGAATTTGGATCCAAATGCTGTGTAAGTTTTAAATAATTGTAATTAATTTCAATGTTTTTAATTTTATTATCGTATAAATGTTCTCTTGAATAGTTTGGCTCAGTCGGTTCGATTAATCATGGCACTTGCGATATTTCTATCATATGGTCTTCAATTTTATGTTCCAATGAATATCATGGGACCATGGTTGCGACGTTATTTCAACGGAGAATATGCTCAAAATCTAAGCGACTCAGCCTTGCGGATCGGTTTGATTGTTTTCACATGTAAGTTATCATCTCATTTTGGAGACGTGAAATATTCAATAATTCGAGTCATTTTTTTCTCTAATTTTAGTTGTGCTGGCTGCAATATTTGGTTCAAATCTTGGCCCAATCATCAGTTTAGTGGGTGCGTTAAGTTCGTCGACGCTAGCGTTGATATTTCCGCCGCTCATTGAAATAGTTACCTTTGGTCCCGATCGGCTTGGTCGCTACTATTGGGTACTATGGAAAGATTTGGCCATTATGATGTTTGGCATTCTCGGTTTCTTCTTCGGTTCGTATGCAAGTATTATGGCGCTATTGAATCCAACACCACAAGCAACAACATAAATGTGTGTACGTCGACCAAAAAATACGCTCAACGGACTACAACGGAAGTTTTTCGACAACGAATGCAGTGGAAAGTGTTCAAATTGAAAGATTAGAAAGGTCAATGCTATTCGAACCGAATGTTTGCAGAAATATTTTATGGGGGCAATAATAGTTTCTTAAACCTAAACCATGACTTTCGCACGGAATTTTCCATTGACGCTACATACAACTTTTGAGTAGCTTCTATTTCTTTCAAAAATTTTCCATTGATCACATTCCGTATGTGTGTGCACTGTGCACGTTAATGTGTCTTCCGTTTGATCTCAGAGCATTACACCATTCGGTTTTACTTTTGCATACAAAGCAATTGTTTATTTTTAAGTTTAGGTGATATAATAATATTGTATTTTATTTGCTCATGAACCACCAGTGGTGCATTTATGACAGAGTCTTATGTAAACTCATATTGAATGTTTATATGATATTATTACCAAGACGATAATAGATAAAAAGAATGACAACCAGGTATATACAGCCTCTGTATAGACTACTTGCGAGTACGAAAGGGGCGTATTTCCATGTTTTTTTTTTATTGTTACCTTCGTTCATTTGCAAAAAAATTATTTCGTGCTGCCCTTTTGACATTTTTTGGAATACATATTTATTTCAATTGTGATAGAGCTTGGTTTCTTCTAGATTAATTTTATTCTCGATTTTTTTTTAATGAGGCATGCGTTAACGCAATCATATTTTTTTGATGTAAATAATTTTACACAATCCACGAGTATTTTCATTTTAAAATTGCACACTTTTTGTGATTCAACGTATTCATAGAGATTTTGTTGAAACTATTTCAAATTTCTTTTTCATTCTTCTTAATATAAATCGAATATAATGAATATATATCGAATTGTTTAATTTAAATTGAATTTATCAACAAATGTTATTCAAGCAAAAAAATGTTTCTTATTTGAGTCAATTTATCGTTTTGTTTTCATTGCATAAAATACATTGAATTGTTCATTTTCCGCCAATTTTTTTAAAATAAAATCTGAATTAATGTTTAGACAATATATACTATGATTAAGTAAATGAATATGACAATAAAATAATATTGAACGTGTAAATAATGAAATTCCACCAATTAAACGTTGACAATAATTACACTGACTACATCAATTTCATAATAGAATTTTGATCGAATAAAAAAAAGAAAAGAAAATATTTTGTTATTGGCCAAATAGACTGGTATGTGTGCTTCAAACACATTGTTCTGAATTATGAGAATGATTGTAAATCGAATAATTAATAAAAAGCGAATTTTCCATGAAAAATCAATAGAACTCCGTAAATTGAATAGAATTTACTGCCCCAACTGCTAATCACCAACAATTTGTATTAAAACCATTCAGCGTCAAAATGAATTGGTTACCATTTACCAAGCAATGTCTTTTTCAGATAAAATAATGTTTAATGTCCTATGTGTAATCAACCTGTAAAAAAAAGACAGAAAAAAAATAAATAAATTATATTATATGCATTGCAGAGTAAATATGTCATTTCTCCTTTACCTCATTGTATGAACTGGTATTGAAGAAGCGTATAAAATGCAGATGAGATTTTCGCCAGATATATACGAATGGCATTTGTGATATTCGAGTGTCCAATAAGATTCGAGTGTTTTGCATGGGCTTGTTTGCGGCGCCAATATTGAATTACTTTCGTCACATAAAAATGCATCGATTACATCGACTGCTTGATGAAAAAATGTTCTCAAAATATCCAATCGATGATGACCCCCAGTGTTGATAACTCGCTTATTCCCAACGGCCGGCTGTAAATTCCTTGACATCACATATTTCGAATGGGTTCGATTCACCAATAGAATGCCCAAAATACTTGGATCAAATTGTGGTAAATTTGTGGAAAAATTTCGTGGATAACATAGCTTTGCATTACGCAGTAACTCCAGATCGTTTCGCCAAATGTGCTGCACCAAACTTGCGGCGTCGGAAAATTGTGGTTCAGCACCACAAACAACACAAACACTTATCATCTGAAATATGGGAATGCAGACAAAACGGTATGCGATGTTTGGACTCTTTTTCGGCAAATAAACGGGCACATCAACCTGAACGGAATTTGATACACTCAATATTGTAATGAGCAATTTGCGATCAATCACATTTAAATCCCACCAGCCTTCGGTGCCAGCAACTACTTTTTGACGTGACATTACCACACAACAAAACGGCGAACCAACTTGATCACTGAACTCATTCAATCGGGCCAATATCTCTGTTCCACCGCTGGAATTATACAATATTGTTGGTTTATTATAATAGTTTTGATGTTTTGTTTTCTTTTATTACCTTGGAATTATACAATCGGTTAGCTTTAGCAAATCAGAGTCGATGTTTTCCATAATTTTATCCACAATTGGATAGCATTTATGCTAAAAAAACTGAAATAATGAGAACTAAAAAGATACAATGAAAAATGAATTCAAACATACTTTAAGCTCTCTCTTTAATTGTTCCGGATTTTTGTTGTGCTTCACTTCATTCAATCCAATTGAAAATATGGTGGCATTGAAGACAACGTCCAAAAAATCCCGAATCACTTTTTCCGTATAGCCCTTTCCAATGCCGATCATCGTGAAACAATTTTCAAAATCTTTCCACACAACAACAGTGTCATCTTCCAAGTATGTGCTATTCAATTGTGCACCTTGTGATTTACAAAACAAAAAGCAACCGTTCAATGAACCCACCGTTGAAAATGGAAGCTAAAAAATTAAAATCATAAAACGAGTTTTAAAACTCATAAACTTGTAACAAAATGTATTTTGGAAGACTCTTACCGCATCACAGTCTCCTTTTTTACGTGAAAATATTGGAACACCACCTGTTGCAGTCAAACATATAAAATGTAACGACATTCTGTAAAATCACCGAATTTTGGCGTAATTAAGAATAATTCCCTTTCTTTCCACAGTGCAATTAATTTTCTCTGACGATGCATTGGCTTGTACACTTGCCGCGGTATTCGCTCAGGAATTTGTTTACATCAACATTTTTGTTGTTGTCTTAATGTTGTTGATCTGGTATAAAAAGACCATTCTGTCAATATTTTTATTTACACGAATTTAGTACCGAAAGGGATTTTCTCATTTAGAAAATGCGATCATCAATCGAAAGATCTACATCCAAGAAAAATGAAAAAAAAAAACTAGAAAAAAGTAAATAATACTGAAATGTGAATAAAAATCGAAATGAAATCATAAATATACGATAAAAATAATCACAAATTATACGAAAGTGAAGATCTACACCGAAAATCTAGTACAATCAAAGGCGCTGCACACAAAAACGATCGACGATACTAACAAGAAAAAAAAAATATATTTTTCAACGCATCGGCTCAAATGAGTTTGTAAACAATAAATTACGTATACGTAGCACACATAGTAGCTTGTGTTGACATACCGTATACCCATTCCACTTTGTTTCACATTCAAATTAACGTATTCCTCTCTCTCATCCCATTGAATCTCTTTCGTGTTCGCCATTCTAGCCGTTTCTTCCAAACGTATATACAAGCATATGAAGTGGAAGCATGTATATAGTGTTTTGTTGAGCCGTTGCCGTTGTTATCGTTTTCTCGTTGTCTCATCACATTCTTGCCGCACATTCGCTGTCTACATACATGAAAATAATGAAAACACTACATTCCAACGTAGCAAACACTAACCACTGACTCAAAACGTTCAAGCAGCATGGGCGCAACCTGTGTATAATGCCAGACGGAATGTGCATGTATTAGTGCGTTGAAGTGTTCGTATTGGTTTTTCCAAAAGAGTATGTTTTGAACGCAACTAAATAGAAGCATTCAGTGATTGCGGTTTAAAGCGACAAGACGTATTTATGTTGCTGCATGTTTTCAACTAAGATTTGAGTGTTAAATTTTAACCGACTACAGTTTGTTGATTTTATCATCATTAGTGTATTTTTTTTGTTTTGTTCCGGTTTTTTCTGTTTAATATCGACGAAATTTTATTCGGTGGAAGTGATATATGAATCATCCCATTGATGAGATTGGATTAATCTTTGGGCAAACAACGTGTGCATATTTAAAAAAAAAACGGCAAAATTCACAAAAAAAAACAAATGTTCGCAAAAGTGTTTACAATTTTGTGCAACTGAAAAACAACAAAAAAGTAAATTCTTTTAGAACGAATTTGGATAAACAATGCGATTGAGTTAAAACAAAAGATAATCGCAGAGTGCGTGAGAATATATACATTTAAAATTGCATTTGCTGAAAAAAGTGTATTTTAAAAACAGTGCAACTGATTGCAAACGAACATAAAACGATTTTTACAACGAAAAACTAAAGCAAAAAAAACGTTAGCTTATCGCAAGGCGATTGTTCACATGAAAAGATTTCAAGGTGTGTATTTAGAAATATGTGGAAAAAAAAATAGTTTTTTTATATTGAATTTAATTGAATGTGGCGTGTAATTCCAATTTTGTGTGTGAAATAACAAAAAAAAGGTTAATTCAACCTCTGAACAAACAAAACATGTAAATTCTGTAATGGGTAAACGCACCGCTGGTCGGTTTTTAACAATGGGACACTTGACACATGAAAAATCAACACGCAACAAATAGAGAGATAGATCTAGTTCTGATATTTTCATATTCAATTGCGATTACGACGAAAGCAACGTGTTGCGTTTGCACATTCAGTCCATTGCCCGAAGAACATATACTTCAATCTATGCACTGGCTCCTTTGTTTTCATATACATTTTTTTTTATCTCGATGATACTCTTCATTGAAGAATAGCTACTGGTATTGAAGTCGAGTAGAGTCGCGATGTGTTCATTAATGCTCGGTTGAAACGAGCAAAGTTGTGTGTAACTGTGAGTCGCGAGTGAATGTGTACGTTTTTGTGTCGATGATCGAATGAACCGTCATTTATCGATGTCGAGCCCATTAAGAATGCATAAATGTTCTTTGCGAATTCATTCAATATCGCATGCATTTTTTTTTGCTTCCATTTTCATGTATTGGCCGGTTCTTTCGTGTCGCTGCTATGTGCCCAATGCATTCCATTAAAATGTGTATTATCGATATTCCGTTTTGTGTCCAAAACAATCAGCACCATTTGTGCATTGCCAATGTGCATACTTCGGACAGTGAACAACAAAAAAGTCTGAGATTGCATGTTCGTATTTTAAAATGCCTTGTTGTTTTTTAACAACAAAAAAAAGCATACAAGAGAAGACTGGCGAGCGTAAATCGTTTCTCTTTGTCCCTTTTTTTTTGGTATGTGAATCGATGGCAAGCAGTCGACGGGATTCGACAATCGTTTGATTTTTTTCGCCTCTGTTTTCTACCTCCGAAAAAAAAACACAGTCAGGAAAGAATAGATTCGTTTGAACGGAAGAATGAGAAAAAAATAACGAATAAGACGCAGCAGATATAGACAGTTTTGTGTTATAACAAGAAAGAAATATTGTATTTCAATGGCAAAATCAGTGATGATCGATTCTCACACATGTCTGTGTTCTACACTCTCTCTTGCTCGTTGGTATGCGCAATGCTGTGGGCGGCAGCTGTTACTGCAAAAAAAAAGTTTCCTCTCTTTCGTTTGAATTGAAATCATTCTCGACATCGTTGTCGCATGTGCAATATTTATTCGATTCGTTTTCGCTCTTTCATTCTACTTCCTAATTAACATTTTTCTAATGAATCACATGGAAACGAAGCGCAGAAAAAAAAATCACATTTCATACAAACATACACATGCATGCGAAACAAAATATAAAAATAAGAGAAACATTTACTTCAGCCATCGTTCCATCGAAATGTGGCACTTAACATGCTTGCCACAGACACATACGCGCTCCCACTTACCGTTCTCCTTCATTTCGCATTTCGTTTTTAAGAACAGAAAATCGGTTTTTATTTGTTGCATTCATTTTCAAGAATTGTGTGCCCTCGTCGCCGTCTTCATCCATACCACACTCACTCAAGAGATCAAACTTCAAAAACTAAACGCCAATTAAACCAAGTAAATATATCTACAAATGAATTGCACTTATGTGAATGTGCAACGCTGTATCGGCGCTTGTATTTGGAGAGCACTAATTTATGATGTGCATGTGTATGTTTATGTGTGTGTGTGTTTGGTTTTCTTTAAATAAATGCCAAACACATTTAAGAAAACTGTGCATAGGTCGCATATATTGACTAGTAATGTTTAAACGTTAATTAAATGAGTCAACGTGACGAATGCTGTACGTGTGACAAAATGTGTACATGAGCACAGAGACAAAAACCGATTGATTTGCCGTGACGCATTCTCTCATTATTATACAGCATTTATGAATTTTTATATTGATGCTACCGATGTTTGTGGGTTTTTTTTTGTTTCCATGTGAGCAGAATCAGTGTTCATTGATTGAATGGGATTTTGATTTTTGGTTTAATAAACTACGACAAATCTGTTTGGGAATTCCTCATCAAATCGAATGGTGTTGAATTTTTAAAATTTGACGCAATGCATTCAAGCAGATGCGTGCTTTAAAATGTTCAAAATGAGGACGAATTTCAATGGAATTATGGCCAATTTAGACGCTTTCACATGAATCTTTCTTATTTTTAATCAAACACTTTGTTTTCTTTCTTTCTCTTCTGTATTTATTTAGAGATTTGGTGGATTTCATATCAACGGTTTTTTTCGTCGGAGCTGCGTTCATCGAGTGAATATCAATAACATACATGCTTATTAAAAGCAATCAAAAGACATTGAAAGAATTCTAAAAGTGACTGTACTGTACTGTACTGTACTGTATTTATATATTTTTGTTTTATTTTTTTTTTTGTTGTTTTGTTTCATTCGAGTGTGTATGAATAGTGAGTGTGCAACGGTTACAACGTAATCATAAAAATAAACATAAGCGAGAGAGAAAAAAGTAAAAAAGAAAACGCAAAACAATAATAACCCGAGAGAGCGAGAGAGCAAATAAGGAATTACTAACGAATACAGAACGTTTTAAACTGCGAACGGATTACCGAAAAAAAAAATATCTACTAAATACCTTCAATCTGGAGTTTTTGTGCATACCGGTCAAACAACGACTTACTTCTGAGTCTTCTGATGTTGTCGATGTAAGTATATTTCATTTTATTTATTCTACATTTTATCGCCGTTTAGTTATACTTTTTTTTTGTTTCGTTCCTCTTTTCGTTGATATAACAAAACTAAATGTACAAAATATATATCCATATGAAATGAAAGAGAAACATAATCATTTGAGCCCCTGCGAATGAACTGAATGCGCGCTGGTTATTACCATTTTATTCCTTATCTGCTTTAAATGTCGTCTGTTTGCTTGTTATCTTCGTGTCTTGAATGTTAATCAAACGATCAAAAAGCGACATATTTAGAGAACAAAATGAAAGAAACAACAACAACAACAAACACACACACAAGTCCGAAGACACTTTTTTTTTTGTTTCATTCGTTTTCTTAGCAATTCTGTTTATTTTCGGTTCGTTCGGCTCATAATTTTTCGGTGTGGACAAATGCAGCATAAGAATAATGGAAGAAAAAGGAGTGAGATGCCTTATGTGTATTGCTAGAATTCATTGAACTTTCATGCTTATTGAACGGTCGCTCACCACACTATGTCAACTCGTTGTTGCCGTTTCTCTGTCGTTGTTTCTTGACGAAAAGATAAAATATATGCAAAAGAATTTACGCGCTGAATAGCTGATATATATATTTTCAAGTCCAATGGACTCCAATTGAATGAAAGCATTGTGAATTTGATTAACGTTTTGCATTGTTTCGTTTTCTTATTAAGTTTTTAACATTTTGACTCTCGCAACATTTCGCGTGAAATATTTCTCGTTTCATCGCTTGGATTAAAATGCGTTTGCAAAATCATCATATGACGAACGGGCTGGTATTTTTTTTAAAACCGCCTTTGATCCGATTTTAATGTTTTCGGAATAAAATTTGAAATTCAAGTTTTGGTGTTGAATGACAAGGCTGAATGTAATTTCATTCATTCCGATACCATCGGTTTCCTGTGTGAACTGAATAAATGCTATGCAAATCAAGCGTTTATTATAACAGTATTGATTTGAATCGATCATAATATTTTCGGTGGAAATGCGATCACCAAATGCGATACACATAAAATTACTATCTTTCAAAATGCCCTGAGAACGATTTTTTTTCTCTTTTTGAACGCATTGGAAATACATTGAGATGGAAAATAACTGCAATTTTTCTTTATCCAGACCTTTAATTTTGAATGAATTCATTTGTTTCATTCGAATTGATTAAAATGCGATGAGTTTTTATTGTTTGATGATTTCATAACATTCATTGTGAATTTGCTCATCAAGGTAAAAAATAAATTAATGGTTCGATATTGATTGAGATCAAAGAGCAAACCGAAAATTTGTGGAAAAAAAAACGAAGATGAGTGCGTGGGTTAATTGTATGTTCGTTATGATTTTATTTATTCGATCTAATGATCCATTCTTAACAAAATTCATGGAAACCTAACATTAAAAGAAGAAAGAAAAAAAACAACAACAAAAACAACGGTTTGAATAAATTATTTATATTTGAAAATGCAAAACAGATGTTTATTGATTAAGTGTGACATCTAAAGGTATCGATCGTTCTCGACTGTATTTTGTGTGTGCGATGTGCTGTTAAATCGCTTGTATTTATATTGTTGTTGATCATCATGCATTTTAAAAATTCGATTAGTGTCAATATTGATGATTTTGTCGCCAAACGCTTCACTTCAATTTCGATGGGATCGGCTTAAACAGAAGTACAAATTAGAAATTCATTTTGCCAAACATTGCGGGCGTATGCGTGTGTATGTCTATGTTAGTCACATTTTATACCGAACCATCAATCCAGAAATTGATTCATCGGCATAGCGAAATTTTATTGAGTGAGAGGCATAACGGGCATAGAATTGGAATTATCTGTTCGAAACAGAAGAAATGCGTGTTTGAGTGTCATTCGATTGTGTTTCATGCAAATTACGTGTTGCCATTCACTCATTCATTGAAATCTTGTAATCGGTATGCAAATGCCGATCGGATGAGATCACTCATTTGAGCAATAGAACGTTCAAAGTGTACGCCTAACACAATGCACTGTAGCATATAATTTGAGCAATGCCATCAATTCCGATCTTTTGTAATGGGAGGAATTCACTTTTTACTCAGCACCGATCGCAAGGATGATAAAATGAAAGAAAAACACTCTCACCACACTCCGCACAGGTCAATGTCGCATTTGTTTGTACAAAAGGTGTTTAACACAACAACAACGGATGACAACAATTTTTTTTTAATATTCAGACATTCCAACAGGTGATTGGCAAACATTGAAAAGTGTCGTGTTGACATGTTAAAGAGTCGAATGATTTCCGGTCGTATAATGGTAAAATGATCACATATCCACTTTGTTTAGCTTAATTTCGCATTCAATTGGCACGCATCAATTTCATCTCTCTCTCTCTCTCTCTCTCTCTCTCTCTCTCATTTTATCCATTTATAAGTTTTTGAATATCTTTCATAATAATCGTTCATTCATCACGAATAGAAACCCATCCAATTATATTGAAGAGTATTTCTTTAGAAATGTCGATGAGTATAAATGATGCAATAACTCTTAATAAACTTCGATTCATTTCGAACCCGAAATGTAACTGTTTAAAACAAACAATCCTTGTACAGTTGTGCCAACACCAAAACAAGCTGATTCAGACGTTGAACCGGGATTTCTGTCGATTGACATTTATTATGTGGTTTGTGTATTTTTATTAAAATTGGGAATTGATTTCATCGCAACATGTCCTGACATGTTTTGCAAATACCTATAAAAGGAGATCGTCCATTTTTGCATATGATTAGCATATACAAGAATCATTATCACCGTCACACAAAAATCCACAATTCGAATTTTATGTGATTTAACCATTTTCGGAATTTTAAGTTCGACACATTTCATTAGTGCACACGAATAAAATGCGACGATGCTTTACACAATCAAATTTCAATATAAATTTAATTTTTTTTTAACAAATTCACAAAGTCATTTGGAATGTGACGGGAAAGCAAAACGAAATGAAACAAAACAAAAAAAATGTAGATCGTAGGCAGTCTCCACTTGACCAATCGCTATTCAAGTCGATTGCCATGTAACCATTTATCGAATGGTGTTTTTTTTTCGTTCATAGATTTGACGTCAGTTTCGTTTCAAATGAAATTCTACGCAAAAATTATTGACAGCATATTAATTTCTTCTTATCGGCGGTCTCTTTTTTTTCCATTTCCAAACCTCTTGAAATCGAAACGCATATCTAAATGGCCAATTTGTGAGAAGAATTAAAATGTTGCGCTATTTATCGTTGAACGCCCACCATGCGATCAGCATAGGTAATTCTTGCGTCAAATGAGATGGGAAAAAATATTCGACATTTGTGACCTTGGTTCAACGGACGAATTGATTTTATTGCCATATCAATGTCATTCGGATACCATATTTGGTTTGCACAGTTTTACACGGTACACAAAGAAAGCAATTAAGATTATGGAATATCATCACATCTCCTTGTTTTCAGCGTTAATGGCATAATAGGCATATTTGTTTTATAACATTTGCCATTAAGTTATTATTGTATTTTTTTTGTGTGTGTTGTTATTATTACCTCGGCCCTTGTGCAAATTGAAAACCATTGAAATGATTTGCATACGAAAGGTAATCGTTTGAAATAATGCTCAAGGGTCTTAATGCGATTTTGTAAGCATATAAAATGCGCAATTTAATTGACCGCTAAAAATAGACAAACGCACAGCATCAATATGGCGCACACATATAATTTCATTTTCTTAAAATCTGTACCAACTTTCAACAATGAAAAAAATATGCTCGCCATGAAACAATAAGTAGATCATCGAGTCTGTTGTTACCTTTTTCATTACTGTGTGCGCACATTCGATAAATAAATTGTTTCTTGAGCGAACAGTTAAGATTTTGTTGGCCGAAATACGTATTGTACACTTCAAGTATCGCTTCAATTATATTAATAGCAATTTAATTGATTCTTTGAAAGTTCAGGGCTAATCATCTCATCAGAAGAGTACTTTCGATACATCGAACAAGAGCACTTTCGATAGGTTCCACAAAAAAAACTCGAGAGGAAGATAGAAAAACAATCACTCAAGATGTCGAAGTAAACGAACAGTCATTTTATCAATATGATTTCATTCATT